ACTTCGAGGTTCAGCCAGACATCGTACAAGTAAGATACAAAATACAAATTAAACAGTCTTAATCTTATGAAAACATCTCTGTGGTTGATAATTTGTTTGTAGTGACTAAGTTAGTCATTTTAGAACTACTTTTACTGATTTTAGAAGTTTTTTTTGTAAGTAAGGAACGCTGGCGAATTTTCAGTTCGAATTTCCTCTGTCTTTCATGTCTATCGGTACGAATGAATTTCAGCATGTTTAGATCAGCAATGAGCAACTGCATTGTAAATACATCTTACCAATAATTAAAAAAGTACTGAATTGATGGTTTTAATAATAAATAAGAGTCGATTAGGTGACAGTTACATGAGAATCCATTCGGTTTCCACATTTCCTCCGAGGCTTTTTTGAAGAAAGTTCACGTTTCAAGTTAGATCAAATACAAAGAAAAATAAACGTTTGGGAATTAAATATATAATAATAAAAGGGGAAAATATGTAAAATTGAACTATGTTATATATCTGTTGTAACTGTTAAACATTGACCGAATTTTTACCTATTTGTAATATTATTTCGTCATATAATCCTGTATGACATCTGAATATTGAGAGCGTTAGTTATCACCATCGCTATATAGCTAATACATATATTTTCACATATGAATAGATATAATCATGAAACATTTTTAGAATTATAATCTATGAGTTTAAGAACTAAAAAAAAAAATCATTCTTTTAAAATTACGGTAAAAAAGTCTTCTCAAATCGAACCTGTTAATATCTCTGCTCCGCCGCCAAAATTGTGCAGTTTTTCATTTAAAAAAAATTCTATATAAGTGTCTTAGAAGTAAAATTTTAGTATCTTTATAGTGGGAATGGCATAAAGTTTAAATCAAGGGGACAATAAATTAAGTTAGAAAATTAATTCTTACCGACTTTATTGAATCCCGGTGTCGTACGTATATCCCAAATCACTATTATGCAAGAATACGGAGCGATAAACAAGTCAATAACCACTAAATAATTTAATGGGTACAATTATTTATTCAACAAAAATTAAAATCCTGTCACAGTTTACTAAATACAGCCATTATTCAGTCGTATTTGTGGAGAAAGCGAACGACAATCTATCGTTTGTTTACATCGGAAGCCATTTTGCCGCAATGCATGACGGAGCCAAAGACTTCTTTTTTGGAGTTCACGCCGTTTTTGGAGTTCGTCTAGACTGAAATAAACGTTTGTACAAATTGTCTGGAAATAAAACAGTTTGCATATAAAGATATTGACGAAAAATCAATGTTGTGTCCGGGGTGTATGCAACATGTTGTACGCGGGGTGTATACCCCATTTTTTCTTAGGATTTTGTAGTGCAATGTATCAATGGAAATATTATGTTCACACAGCTTTCAAAGCGACAGATGGTGTTGATAAAAGACCTTAACACTAATGTCGAACAAAGAGTAATTTCTATAAACTTACTGAAATAAAAAACAAATCAACTAAATTTAAAAAAGAATGAAAAAAAACCCGATCATTTTCAAACATAAAAGCGTTAGATGTGCAAGGAGCGATTGTTATCTGACTAAATGCTACATTGTAGATGGTGCAATGATCTAAATCTATCTAAATCATCTCTCCAAAGGGTCCTTCGCCCCCCCCCCCCCTTTCCCCAATCCCTGTATTGAGGACACTTTGCCCTTCTTTGGCTCGTTTTAATCTAAATATTTCGCCTGTTAAAAATAATAGAAACTCTACATGAATAGTGTATTATGAATAAATCGTTTTATTTTGTTTCTTCAACATTGATGTTATCAATTCATGTATTCTTAAGCATTTATGACAGTGATGTAGAATCCTTTTGAAAGGGGGGGGGGGTACCTGATAAAAAAAAAACCCTTGACATAAGTTGACTTATTATAAAAGGGGGGGGGGGGGCTTATCGAAACTCAGACTCATATTTCAGATGGGGTTGTAGGTCCCATCTTTTTTCAGTACCAATTCTCCTTTTTTTACTTAAGCATACTACATAACCATTTTTTGACTGTGCTGCAACAAAAAGGGGGGAGGGGGGGGAGGTGGCAACTTGATTTTCGATGAACATTTTCTGTAGTGAAAATTTGTGACTGGAACAGAAAGGGGGGTGATACTACGTGTCTGTATGATACATGTATATTAATTTTCCTTTCAATTTTCGCAATATGTGGACTCATTTTTCCTTATCTGAAAAGATTTCATATTTTACAAATCATAATAAACATGTAAAGCCGGCTATAAAATGCACATTTGTAATAAGGGACGACAATTTTCCGAGGGCATGCACAATTGCATCTTCGCTAGTTGAGGGTTTCCGATCCTATACCTACTATGCAACAGAGTAGGTATCGGATCGGAAACCTTTAACTTGCGAAGATGGCACAATTGAAAAAAAAAATGATTTTGGTACAATAACAATTTTACGTTGACGTGTAATTAATATTAATTATGTTCACCTTCCTACGTAGTAAAGTTAAACCCCCCCCCCCCAAAAAAAAAGACCCAAGACACAAACACACACTCCTCGGGCCCATTCCTAGAAAGTATGTACTCAATAAAATACATTGCCTCAATATAAAACAAATAGTTTACTGCCAAATATGGGCTCATGGGGGCAAAGTACACAACATATAAATACTACATGAATGAGAACATTTTTTCTGGTGTTTATGACATTACAAAAAGCTAAATATTTCAAGCTCATTTTAAAAGTATTGAAAAAAGTTAAACAGAAATTATGAGGAAATGTTAAATGTTCAAAATGCTGCATGTGTGAAGCATTTATTAAGGAAGGATCTGAATAAGGTGCCTTTAAATCGAAAGAAGGGATGAATTGTTGGTCATCACATCATACAGTTAAACAAAGTACCCTGTACATTTACTTCCATGTGCATGCAAAGCCAAAAGTACGATGAACCTGTATGAATTTTATTTCCAGTAAATCAAATTCATGAACCTGAAGTTGTGCTATAACAAAACTGATGAATAATTTAAAAAATAAATAGAACTTTTACAAAAGTCAATTGTTAACAATTTTTTAATGACATTTCAGACAATGATACTATAGAGTAAGAAGAGGGGTATACACCCCGCGTACAACATGTTGCATACACCCCGGACACAACATTGATTTTTCGTCAATATCTTTATATACGAACTGTTTTATTTACAGACAATTTGTACAAACCTTTATATTGTTAACATGTATTTAACAATAATTTAAAAGTGACGACAAAGCAAAGCTTTGCTCTGATATTTGATCATAAACACAGTGTAGCGTCAATCTTGCTCCGATCCTCGGAATTGTGTTGAGGTGTTTGATAAAACTAGAAGGTGTCTAGTGGATTCACAGGCATCCATATACTTCTTAGACAATGCTTCCTTCCGTACGCATATGCTTTCTGGCGAAAGATTTCCGTACGTTTAGAAAATGGACAAAGAACGTACATTGACCCCATTTCTCTCGCTTCGGAAGCATACACCCCGCGCACAACATAGTATACACCCCGCATGTTGGGATCTACACGGGGGTGTAGCATAGTGCTTAATGCGTTCGTCTCAAAGCAGTATGCTATTGATACGTCGGATTTTTATTGTTAGGGTTCGAATCCCACGAATACCATCTAATAATTTTATGAAAGAATTTTTTTACGAGATTTTTTTTCTCTCAGATAAGTTTTTTCCCTTCATAATTTCAAAAATTTCAATAATTAGAAGTTGATTTAAATAATCAATGCACATATTTAATATGATTTCTTAATATTTGACGCTAGAGGCATTCTGCCCGCCTTGTTCGCCCATCTTCTTTATCTTGTGTGTAGGGGGCGGAAATATGCCAACATAAACGGTTTCTTTTATGGAAGTTATTCAATTAGTTCTCGAACTTTTGGATCAACCCTCGTATAGTTTATTTTGTTCCATACTTTATTCGGATTAAAATATTGGAGGGAAAACATCAAAAATGTAAAATTTGGATTAAGAGACAAATTCCAATGCAAAAAGGTCATATTCAATGTACCCAGGTAGCGCCAAAAGAAGCATATTGACACTCATATTTGATTTGATTTTCAATAAATCTATGTGAGCGGAAACTTACACGCTTAAGACTTGAAATATCAGGAACCAATCTTGTTAAAAAGCCTTGAAGAATACATTGTAGCTCCTTTAAATCAAAGTACTCAGAAGTACTAAAAGCCGGGCTCATTTACGGGGTAATGAACAAAGACCGTGGTGACAGTTTAAAATCAAGTTCAGACGTTTAGAAGATACGTTACACACAAAAATATCTCAATGAAATGTATAGTATTAAAAAGTTTTAACAGCGTAAAATATTTATCACATGTATCGTTTCGGGCTTTTATATACAAACAGAAGTAAATAAACACCGAAGCAGGAACGACTATGCTCTGATGTGTCCTCAGCAGGGAGTTTTGCATAAAGTCATTAATGATGTTCCCTGCATTTGTATTAGCCTGATAATGATTGTACACCTTTATTTATAGAATATGAAGCAGACAGGGATACCTAGTGAAAACCTTTCGCACCTTTTGAATTGCTTTGTAAAATATTAGTCAAAGGAGTCAGGAAAAATATTAAACAATTTATTATTTTGATAAAAATATTCGATTTACTAGTACTATTTCTTAAGGTGTTTGAATGGATTTTGTTTTCTCAACAGCGCCTGGGCGTACGTACTATATTTATACTCGTAAACTCAATTTGGCGGTGAAGAAGCAGCATTTTCTGTTGCTCACCGTCGCAATCAATCGGATCACCTCGCCCTTTTCCGTCGCACGCTTGCGTCGCAATAGCCGGGCATTGCTTTACGAGCAATGAGCCCGGCTAAAAATGATTAGAAGTCGGGCTCGATATACAAAAGATTAGCATATTCAAGGAGCAAATTCGGGCGGTGTAGCATTGTTTTCCATTGTTTTGTTAATTTTTATTGTTGTCGTTAATGATGTTTGGCTTTGCTGTGTTTCATACCTTCTTGTGATGGTGGAAGCTCTAGCTTTTTATTTTTACCAATTGGAAAAAGTGCATTTAATCTCAAATCTGTTTTTGAGAGGGTTAACTGTTTTAACATTTTTCCCCTAGCTGAGCACTAAAATCATTCATTAGCTGTTCATCATTGCAAACAGATATGAATATTTTAAGGAATAAGATGCGGATATATGTCAAAGAGACAGAAAATATTTTGAAAAACCCGAAAGGCGTAAACGAGGTAACCAATGCCGTCGATGAATTTTACAAAATTACTCTTGGGTACGAACAAACCGTTAGCTCCAAATTCCAAGATGTCCACTTTATTCGTGAAGTTTTCCTCACAGAATTTTACCCAACAGTGCTTAAAATCTTCATTGACACATTACAAGTGGAATGGTTTACAAGTCCTGAACATAAACGTGTGTCAGAACTGTTTGATAAGGTGTTTTTGGACGGTTATCCAGTTGGTGCCTTTACTGTGCTGATGAGGAGTGTAGATAATTTAGAGTAAGTTCTACATGGTTCAAGTATAAAATACCCTAAAATATCACTTAAATGAGAAGACCTTTGTCAAATTGACTGTTGTATACAGTAGCTGATTAAGTAGAGCTCTTGCCTGGTGATCAAATTAAGGTCATTGGTTCAAGTCCTTGCTGCAAGTACTAACCTATTTTCTTTGTAAATTACATACATGTAGCAGCCGTTCCAATTCCAAAAAATGGCTCAGCATCTTTGAAAAGAAAGTTGTTGGTCTTTCGGATTAGACCTTGAAAACAATTTAGCTACATGTCAAGGCAGGTGCTGGTACTAGTACACTGTACTAGCAATTGCTAATGATAGAATGACCCTTAAGGACAAATAGGCTGCAATTTAGCCATTTGATTTCCTTTCACTGGTTTCGTATTAGGATAATCTTGAAATTCTTGATGAGGAAATTTGATAAGAATATCCCTCTTCCCTCTCAATCCATCTCTAGTTTATAATTTTTAATTGTATGATTTATGAATAGCAATATCTGCAATGTATTTATGTTTCTCATATTTTACAGACTGGGTTTCAGACTAAATAAGTGTGTATCTCTTCTGGAAAAGTTCCTGGATAACAGTGGATTATTCCAGATAATGATGACAGCCTGTAAGTCGACTCCGGATAGGAGTCTGGATTTTATGTGGGAGGATCTCATAAGTTTGCTGGCCACACTTCCAGACAAGACAGCTAATAAACTACAGCTCCAGAACAGGTGACTCAGTGTATTTCTATTTCCAAATGATATACTGTAAACATATTACATTTGGCTGTGTATTCTGTTTAGGCTTTTGGTGAAGATAAACTCCTGCTAATTCCATTTCAATGCTAAATGCCTTGCACACATTAACAAAAAAATGCACTATAAATCAGATCTATGCTAATATTCAAATATCTATTTCCACCAAATATCGTACACTCTTGCTATAATTCATTTACAGTATGACGGAATTAGGTCATTTGATCTGTAATGTGTTTTTACAATGTACTGGTATCTGGTTATGGTGGAGATTTTACTCTTGATCTGTATTCTCTGAGTTGACATTTAACATAGAAAGTCCAAATCACTGTCTGTATCCAATTGTATTGTCACAAAATAATACCATGTGTGTACATGTATTCTCAAACACTAAATCTCTATACAATAAAACATGTTTATAACTAAGTACCAGGAACAGAAGTTTCAGCTTTGTTACAATTGGGAAATTTGTTATATTCATTAAGTGTAAGAGCTACGAGGAATATCTGAAATCATTTTGCTATAGCTTCAGTTCATTGTAAGCATTTTTACTTATGACTATAAACTGTGTTTTACTGTATACATCTGTGTTTGTAATAAATTCTTTTCATCTTTTTCAGTGAGAAGTTTTATCCTCAGCAATACATTCCTCTGCTGTGCAATGAGGTCATGCAAGTGTTGAAAATCATGCACCAGAAACTGAAAAATAACAATGACATACACTTAGAATTCGTTAGCAGGGTGATCGGCAAGGTCTGCATCTCAGGTCACGCAGGTATGTACTTGTAATGCATGTCAATTAAGAAACAGAACAAAAAAAATTATTTTCAAAAAGCATGGCAAATACAAAAATATTCCTTTAGAAAGATTAAAGTTAATGTTCATAACAATTAAAAGTCCTAAGGCTACATATTGCTAAGAATTTGAATTAATTTTTTATTTATTCAATAAAAACCTGTAAACTTTGTGATTTCTGAACTGAATATGTTGTCAGAGGTAAATCTTTATTCTAGGGCTGTGCAATATTACCGGTATATCGGTATATTGCGGTATTATCCACCATCATAATATATCGCGATATGAAAATCAGATACCGGTATTTCACGATATTTATAAAAATATATAAAAACCTCCTTTATTGTAGAAACTGCTGAAATAATATTTGTAACTTCCCCAGGCCTTTTAAATCTATTAAAAAAAATACTTCGTCAGTTTGAGAGGCAGATAGAGAGAAAAGAGAGAGAGAGAGAGGAAGCTTTTCATTCACTGTCGTAATTTTAAATATCTTACTTTAAAATAAAATAAATAATTAGTAAAAGACTTTTAAATAAAATAATTAAGAAAGAAAATATATATAATGCCTTTCCTGATCGTATGTCATAATGTGAAATTAGGTCAGGTCAGACCAAAACACCAAACGCCCGAAAATAGGACACAATTTCTTTCTGGCTTTAATTTTATTCTGTGACCACATAAAATTTCAATATAGTATGAATTGTTTGAATCATTAAGTTACATTTTATGCTATTTCAATAAAACAACCCCTCCCCCCCCAAAAAAAAGATAAACATATAAAGAATATACTTTTTTTCAATGTGAAAAATACATCAAATGAGTACATTTTGTTTTAATTTTTACCTGGTTTTTAATTAAAAGTTATTATAATTATGTGTGCGATTAATGTCTTATCCCCCGCCTCCTTTAAAATTTATAGATAATTTCAAATAGTCTTTGAACTTGACAGCATTTTAAACTCTCTGCACATATTTATTAATGATAATTAATCTACAATATATCGCAATATATTGCAATATTCAACGTAAAATATTGCAATATATCGCAATATGGTTTTCACTCGCAATACCCAACTCTACTTTATTCCCTTCCTGTTAACAGTAATTTTGTGGAATTCCCTTGTCCCCCCTCTGGAGCGAGGCGTGCGGGAGGATTACATCTGGAGCAGGATAACAGAGAGGATCATTACAGGGGTACCGGACCGGTGTCTAGAGTGTACCCTCACCGCCTTACTGACACGGCTTACTTGGTAAGATAAAAGTAATGCTGGAAAAAAAGACATTTATAGTGTTTTCCATTGTGTTTGTTATTAGAAATTTTTTTAACATGATTAACAAGCTCCTTTTCTTTTTCTGTATAAATTTTGATATTAATTTCTTCAAGCCCATCATGGTTGAAATAAATGAAAAACCAGCATTGTCAGACTGTAATTATTTCTACAAAAAAAAATAATTGCATCACCCCCCCCCCCTTCCCCCTGCATTGTTTTGAAAAAAAAAGGAATAATAAAATAAAATGAATACAAAAAAAAAACAAAAACAAAACAAACTTGACAAAACTAATGCACAAACAAGAACATGAATTGTTTTAAACATGTGCAAAATTACATTTGTACCAACATGACCAATTTTATTATCCTTTGTCAAAAATCTTCTACCCACTTAGGTATGGATTGGTGGAGAAGTTTATTGGAGGGAGTGTTACCACAAAACAGAAGATCAAATACCTACTGTGTACTAAACTGGTGTTTCACAGGCACTCCCAGGATGTAGGTATTCTGAATGACTTGATACATATACATGTACATGTATGTTATTAGCTCACCTGAGCTGAAAGCTCAAGTGAGCTTTTCTGATCACCCGGTGTCCGTCGTCCGTCCGTCCGTCTGTCCAGCCGTCCGTCCGTCCGTCTGTAAACTTTTCACATTTTCAACTTCTTCTCAAGAACCACTGGGCCAATTTTAACTAAACTTTGTACAAAGCATCCTTGGGTAATGGGGAATTTAAATTGTTAAAATCAAGGGCCAAGACCCATTCCAAGGGGAGATAATCAAGAAAATACAAAAATAGGGTGGGGTCATTAAAAAATCTTCTTCTCAAGAACCACTGGGCCAGAAAAGCTGAAATTTATATGGAAGCATCCTAGGGTAGTGTAGATATTAAATTGTTAAAATCATGACCCCCGGGGGTAGGGCGGGGCCACAATAGGGAATCCAAGTTTTACATAGAAATATATAGAACAAATCTTTAAAAATCTTCTTCTCAAGAACCACTAGGCCAGGAAAGCTGAAACTTATGTGGAAGCATCCTTGGGTAGTGTAGATATTAAATTGTTAAAATCATGACCCCCGAGGTTAGGGCGGGGCCACAATAGGGAATCCAAGTTTTACATAGAAATATATAGAACAAATCTTTGAAAATCTTCTTCTCAAGAACCACTTGGCCAGGAAAGCTGAAACTTATGTGGGAGCATCCTTTGGTAGTGTTAATATTAAATTGTTAAAATCATGACCCCCGGGTAAGGGCGGGGCCACAATAGGGAATCCAAGTTTTACATAGAGATTTATTGAACAAATCTTTTAAAATCTTCTTTTCAAGAACCACTAGGCCAGGAAAGCTGAAACTTATGTGGAAGCATCCTTGAGTAGTGTAGATATTAAATTGTTAAAATCATGACCCTCGGGCGTAGGGCGGGGCCACAATGGGGAATCCAAGTTTTACATAGAAATATATATAGAACAAATCTTTTAAAAAGATCTGCATCACCCAAGTTACTCAGGTGAGCGATGTGGCCCATGGGCCTCTTGTGTTTTTGCATACTAGGTACTAGAGAGAATTGCATTAGTACATACATGCTAACATGAGAAGTATTTTTATGAAAAAAAAATTGATATGAAGTAATGTATATTTTCTCAATATCTTCATAAAATTTCCGATCATCCAATCCTTTCACAATGTATGTTTTCTTTTGATCAACATCTTTATGTTACTGTTATATTATTCTGCACACATCAGTAAAAAGAAGGTAATGATTCAGAAAATTTCACATTTCAGATACTTTTACTTCAAAATATAATTGGATACCTAGGTTTATCTCACACAAGGAAGTCTCTGCTTATAAAGGTAAAGTGTACACCCTATATATATCTTCCTTAGTGTGCATGTATTTCTTTCTTTTTTTTTTTACACTATCTTGTATGGCAAGCAAGTGCATGTAAACTCAGATAAGGAATTTTTTCTTTGGATTTTTATTTGCCTTTTTATGATTGTTAGATGTTGAAGGAACTTTATTAATAAATTTGTTTTATCTGTCTTAGTTGTTGAGGGAATTTCTGTTTTGTCTTTGTTAGCCATTGACATGATTGAGGGAGCTTCTATATTTTTTTTTACCCTTGTTAGATGTTGATAAGGACCTGTGTTTATTTTTAGATGTTGAGGGATTTCTCTCTATTTGCTTATAATTAGATGTTGAGGGATTTCTCTCTATTTGGTTATAATAAGATGTTGAGGGATTTCTCTCTATTTGGTTATTTTTAGATGTTGAGGGATTTCTCTCTATTTAGATATTTTTTTGATGTTGAGGGATTTCTATCTATTTGGTTATTTTTAGATGTTGAGGGAGCTTCTCTCTATTTAGATATTTTTTTGATGTTGAGGGATTTCTCTCTATTTGGTTATTTTTAGATGTTGAGGGATTTCTCTCTATTTAGATATTTTTTTGGTGTTGAGGGATTTCTATCTATTTGGTTATTTTTAGATGTTGAGGGAGCTTCTCTCTGTTTGGGGTGACAGCAGTGCCCTGAAGCACACCTCTGTGGAGCAGCATCTGTACATCACAAAGGCTCTATTTATAGGACTGGGATTCCTCAAAGAATCAGACAAGGCAGAAATCAGAGAGGGTAAGTACTGATAGGGGAATCATGGTTAATGTGTACATGCAAGGACAGCAAGCAAATATGTGTGTTTTTGAAGGAATTTAATCTGACACTGTGACAGTTTCTCCAGACATTATCCATTTTGATATGTAATTGTAAAAGTAAATTTTATTTTTAAAGTTTGGGGTATTCAGTCTTAGTTAATCCAAAGAACAGGAGGCAGGTAGGGCTGTTCATGAAACTTTTTATCTCACAATCTAATTAAAATCAGCTTTCTTAGATCCGCACCATATTCACTCTGATTGCATACGTAAGAAGCAGAGTGGATACGGCGCGGATCTAAGAAGTCTGAGTTTAATTAGATTGTATTGACACACTACTCAAAACCTTACTGTTATAGGAAATTTTATAAATACCTGTATAATTGTTGAACATGTATGTTTTAGAGATTTGATAATCCTCTTGTAAGAAATGAAGTTCTTTTTTTTGGTGACAGATTTTATCCAGCTACTGATGCCTGGTATACAATGTCACATTGCAAGTTCTGATCACAGAGTTCGGAAAGTTGGCATGACTCTAGCCGAGACCATGTCAGCTGTTCTAGATCCCAAAGGTCAACAACTAAAGTTTGAGGTAAGAAGTAAAAATAATCATAAAGGACAAATAATCATTTTTTTTAGGCCAACACCAGTGATTATTCAGTTTATAATAATCAGTTATGATTTATTGATAAAGGAAATTGGTATAACATATCTAGTTTTTTCCTTAAACAGAAATGTTGCACTACCCCAACCAGAATAGATTAATACACTGTACATGTAATTTATTTATCAATTGTCACATTGAAAACATCTTCCTCAAACTTTCACTTTCACAAGTCAACTTAGAAAATATTTTATATCAATGTTTAAACATGTATAGTAAAACTCTGTGCACAAGAAAATTTGAATTGAAAATTTTTTTATTGTTTAAAAGTACATGTGTATTACAATTTTGTATACTTATTCAATATGTAAGTAATTGAAATAAACTGATCAAAATTATGCCATTGGCTGCTGTGCATATGTAAATGCATATATAACTATGTAAACAAATATCTGAATAGTTTCAAATTGGTTTATGATTGTACATTGTATGCTGTTTATTTCAGTTTCCCAGAGATGAGGAAGTAGAATACTTGGTTTCCTTGACAACACCACCACAAGATCCTGGGCTACAGGGTGTTACAAAGTTAGTGTCTCTCAATTGACAGAAAAATTATCATGCTGTAAATAATTCAAAAACAATTTCAATTTGGATATAAGAAAGTTAAGAGAATATATCAATGTTGTTTAGTTGGACATAGGACTGCAAGGTTTGATTTGGTTATGTACTGTTTTTAACAAGTTTAAGTATAATTTTTTATACTCTCTGAAAATTTATTCTGAAAGCTAGGTGTAATTTTCACATTGTGAAAAAGAGCAGGTTAATTTTTACAGAGTTAAATTATTAGTTACATGACTTTAGTTTTTTTCTTCATATCATTACAGTGGGATGAGTGATGTACATATTACTCCAGCAACGAGTCAAGAAGACGTTCTATCAGAGAGTAGAAATGAAGAAAGGGAGACTAATCTACAGATTGACCCAGATTTAGATAGGTTTGTCCTTATTTTTATACCAAGATATTGATTTAAAGATTTTATTTTTATGACAATATTTTTATCATTGATATTATGTTATTAAACATGTACATGTAATATCTATATGCTCTTTCAATCTATGTATAAAATTCGATTATAATTTTGCATGTTTTTCTTTTTAAAAAACACTGTAACAGTTGCTCTGTATCCTTATTTGATGGAGCTAATATGGACTAAAACAATGGTTTGCATTTTATTATGTATAGTATTATATTCTGTTTATTAAGATGAATATTGATATTTTTCAGTGATGATGATCTAGTGCCATACGATATGTCTAACGACAAAAAGTTGACAAAGACCAAACAGCCTAAATACATCAGAGACTGCATGGAAGGTATTTTAGAAACTCCCCACCCCCTCCATTTTCCACTCATAATGTAATTTTAAACATTATTTGCAGAGTATGCTCTTTGAAATTTGAATTTTATAAGTTCTTTGAATTTCATTTTTTTATTTGTAGGATTAATCAGTGTTGATGATCCAGAAAGATTAGAAGTGTGTCTAGGTGTCACAGAAGCTTTGATCCGGAGGAATCCAGATGGGCTCTTGGAAGTAAGCCATTTGTTATTAAAGTCTTTATTCTAAATTAGTCAAGATATTTCATCCATTTTTAAAATTTCACATTTATTATTTACTTTTCAAATGTTTTAAGAGAAAAAATATTAGTTTGGTAAAAAAGAAAATATCTTTCTTTTTAAAAATACATTGAAGCATCAAGTTTAACACTTTATATCCTATGTAGATTGGTATTCCAACCTATTTAGAACAGTACTCTTTGGCCTTCATAGACTGGTTCTTTTTGACCTACTTAGACTGATACTCTTTGACCTACTTAGACTGGTACTCTTTGACCTACTTAGACTGGTACTCTTTGACTGGTACAATATACTCTTTGACCTACTTAGACTGGTACTCTTTGACCTACGTAGACTGGTGCAATTTGATAAGTTTTTTTGACATGGTGCACTTTGCTATCACCTGGCAAGAACTTTTTTTCTTAACACGTTATTAAAAATAGTGCTTATGTACATTGACAAGTTGGCGATATCCATTGTTAATTTTAAACTGCTAATAACAAAAATCTCACACATACACGTTGTTTTAACTTTAAATCAACAGAGGTTACGAAAAATGAGAAAATAAACAATTAAAACAGAGAGAAAACAACAACAAACGTGCACTACATTTGCATAAAAACAGCTCGTACTATGAATTACTCGGTTTTGTAGGTTCAAATCATACCACGGTGGCCCGTAAAATTTACGTGAACATTTCATGTATATAACATTTGTTATATATTGTGCCATTTATATTGGGAAAAAGTTAAAAACAAGGTAATTATTTATAAAAGTGCACTGTGAAGAAAACTGATATCAAATTATATAATATTATTCAATAATCATTTGTAAGTTGAATTTGTAACAAAGTGATCTTGCTATAGTCAAAGAATAAAAATTTGAATACAATTTAAATCAATTATGATTCAATTTAAATATCAATGAATTAAAACCGATATATCTTTAAAAAAAATGTTTTTCCTCTCCTGATCGATTGGCTAAATTTCAGAGCCATGGCTCAAATTTTTTAACCTCAAAGAAACGTTAAATATTTTTTAAATTCTTATTACTGGATTATTTCATTCCCTTAACATAGATGTTGAATTTCTCCTAAAAAAAAGTTTTATAATCTCAATGCTTGTGTATTTATTTTGTATTTAAATGTTTCAGGTATCCACCACAGATTTGACTCACACACTGGTGGTTTTGCACCAGAGCAGGTAATTATTTCTGTGGAGAAAACTATTATTGACAAGCAGTGTATTTTGCATAGTTTGTAAAAGAAAATCTTTGTGGTTAAAGTTGAACAAAACGATGCTACTATCATGAAAATCGAATAGTTTTATTCTTAAGTGAAATTATGAGTAGAAAGGTTGAGGGATGTAAACAGTCCATCTAACATTCTATTTCCCTTTTAAGCAGTTAAGCATTTTAGCATTCACAACCTGTTCACAATGTGCCATGTCCCTGTATACAGTCATATAGTATATTTTTTATTCAAGTGTATTTGACCACAGTTTTTTTCTGAGACTGACTTATCATGTGCATGTGTAATCATTAAATTATGTAATTTCTGTATTTTGTAATTTTCTTTTTATCATCAGCAATTCTACAGTTTTATAGAATTGTACATGATAATAATATTAATTTATAATATGCAGATGTATTACATTTTAATCTTTGGCAAACCTAATTAATATCTATCATTAATAGGTCTTAGGAGCAGCAGCCCAGGAGCTTTCTCAACCCTCAGAATCTCAGCCAATAGAAAAAGAGAAACCGTCCAATAAAATTACGGCACTGGATTCAGAGGATTCTGCTGAGGGCTGGAGAGAAATCGTCAAACAGAGGATAGAGAGTAAGACTAGGAGATTTGGGAGAGGATCCAGAAAAGAGGTGGTGACTACTAAAAATAAGTTTTCTCCTGTGGCAGGCTGCTTCTTTTACCCGCTCATGGCCAACTATGACAGGTAGAGATTTTGTTGTTGTTATCAGTTTTTTGCATCTTGTGTATTTATTCATTGAGAAGTATATGTGATTTATCAACAAAAACAAATGTTGGAATTTATTGTATAGAAGTTGTTGTCTAAAGTTATGTATTTATAATTTAATTTTATTTGTATTCTCGCCTCTCATTGGTTGATTTCCAAAAAGGAACGCATAACATTTTGTATAATCTTCATTAAAGTGACACAAATTAAACTACACAGTTGTAATCATCATATCCATGCAATCCCATTATTTTTTAATGAAATCTGGAAAATTCAGATTTAATAGCTCTATCTTTAAAAACACTTCTCTCTACCTCATTAAACACACATCATGGCTGCTAAATTTTGTATGTAACCTCAAAAAGCTTCAAATCACTTCCGTTACTACGGTAGGTGCGGTAAATTTATACTTGTAAAAAGCAACACAATTTTACACCGAAAGTTGCTTAATTACTAGTATAATTTTAAAATTAAATTATAAGGAATGACTTTGATTTGATGGCCATATTATCTTGTATAATCTGGTTGTGTATACACTAGGAGTCAGTTTACGCTTTATAATCCGCAAAGCGTTATTTTTTTAATGAAATCCTTCAATTCAGGTGTAAGGACCTTGTTCAAATTTTAGGCATGATTATTTCATTTGGTAAAGTCATATGTACAAATTTTGTATGAACTTCAAAAAGTGACAAAAAATTCAGCACCTGTAGGTGCAAAATTTATACTTGTTCATAGATCATTTGATGTATCTCTTTTATTTGTTGCTTGAATTTATAGGAAAGAGAATACCTTTGATTTGATGGGAGAGGACAGCCTTGTATTAGGCAGGCTTGTGTATACACTAGGAGTCATTATCTATGCTGCCATTAACACCCCAGTGAGTCAGCAATATTACATTATTCAATTTGATGTTCAGCTTTTCAAATTTTAGGCATGTTTTTACATTTGGTAAAGTCATATGTACCAGGCATTTTTTAAATACAGATCTTTTTTGTTTTTAAATTCAGAAAACATAATAGAATATTTATTTTGTTTATTGTTTACTTTTGCAGGCAGTTAAACAAATGGCTGACAGATTGCTGGAGTTTTTGTGGGTCATTAGATTCCATAGTGATGTGTGAGTATAGTGTTTACTTTTATAGGCTGTGGAAAGGAAATACTTGTATTTATTTATTATAAATGTAACAGTCATTAGTTGGTGAAATACCAAGTCTCAAAAAGGACTCAAACCCAGGGCCTCTGGCATACCTTGCCAGCTCTTTAACCAACTGAGCTTTCTAAGAGATTTATCATGGAAGATACAGATTTACTGATACTAAAGGCATCAATTCTTTTGATATTTCAGGAGTGTTCGCCATGCTGTTTTGTTTGCTGTTTCCATGGTGATTCTATCTGTACCAGGACATATTTTACTGACAGACCTACAAAGTGAAATAATGGAGACCAAACACTGGCTGGAGGGTAAATTAACGGACTCTGAAAAATTAAAGAGAATGTTTTTGTTTTTTAAAATTTAAAAAATCATCTTGAATTAGAATTTTAATGATATTCATGTTTGTAAATGTCCAGAAACCTGCATGAAGATTTTCTTTTCCAATGCTTTTTTTAAAAATATCATTTTTGCATGGAATGAACAGAGTTTAGGTAGATTTAACATTTTAAGATAAGGAAGTTAGGGCTACATGGACATCAGGCAAGGGGGCTACATGGACATCAGCCAAGATAGCTCTGTGGTAAAGCACAGGGGCCTTGGGATTTTTTTTCCCAGATCAGCAACATATTATTTTTATTCGATCCTTCATTCCTAGCACAAAGGGATTATCATACTAAAAAGATTTTCTTGCAGATGTTGTGGAGAAAGATGTCAATGCTGAATCTAAGAAGATGGCCATACAGAGCCTTGTTCTCTTGGAAAATGTCATCAAACAGGTCGAGATCAGTTTCTTATTAAATAAAACAGTAAAATTAAGAAAAAAATGTTTTTTTGAAAACGTGAGGATCGAGGTCTTAAAAATTTTATCATTATTGTTCTTTTTCATCCTATCTGAAAGTGAAAGGAAGTTGTTAAACAAATGTCTTTGTCATTGAGTTCACAGTTGCATGAAAGTTAATCAATATAGATTACTTAAGAAATAAGATGACATTTTTAGAGTTTTATTGGGATGTGACATGAAGTCGGTCACGTGATCAAATTCTATAATGCCCGAAAGGCATTATTATAGTAGATTTGATCACGTACCGCCTTCATGTCACATCCCAATGAAACTCTAAAAATGATATCTTATTTCTTATACTTATATTTTACTTTTTTTCGTGGTACAAGGAAAATAGGCGTTATTTGGCCATTGTTATAGAAATGCAACATAACGTAACTACAGCATCATATGACGTCACAGTCAAGACTTTTTAATAGTCTCGTGCGGTTTGCCCAACTGGATGTCATTAAAAATTGAATGTCAATTTAATTTATATTGTCATATAAGGAAGGAATTTAACAAAGGTAAATATATGTACATGTATCGGGCCTCAATAGCTCAGTGGTTAGAGTGCTGGCATGGTACACCAGAGGCCCTGGGTTCAAGTCCCGGTTGAGACTTGACTTTTCACCACCTGTGACATCTTGAAATTTTTTTTTTACATATGATTGCCTTTCCTTATTTGTGTCATGCATTGTATATTTATTCTTATAAGAATGATTTTTTTGTAGGAATTTACCAAAGGGGCTGACCTGACTTGAAGGAAATGAAATCATTGAGATATTTGCAACTATGCAACTAACACTTGACAGTTATTTAATAGCTTCCAAGTGCAGCACTGGGCCAAAGAGCAAGAGGATTTCGAAGAATCAGTAATATAGTCACATGAAATAACAAACCTTGACACAAAGTACTTCTCTCAACACTCAATTTAACAAAAGTTTGTAAAACTGATGAAGTATGGATTGGCTCTAAATGGAACTGATCTTTGTATTACAGAAAAAAAATTTAGTAGAAATAAAGTTTATTATTTCTTAGTCAATTGTTACAAGTTTGTAAAACTTATGCGATAGTAAAGTCCGTGGGTTTGGTCTGTAAACTATTTTTCAAAATGCTACTCCTCCTACAATTTTAGTCTGATTTCAATATTACTTGGCACACAAGTAGACTACACTAAGATACATAGAATAGTGCATCGGTTTTTAATTTCGATGAACGGTGTTGCCATGGTTACTAAAAATAGAATTTTCTATGAAATTCCTTAAAAACGCTACTCCTTCTACAGTTTTGGTCTGATTTCAATATTACTTGGCACACAAGTAGACTACACTAAGATACATAGAATAGTGCATTGGTTTTTAATTTCGATGAACAGTGTTGCCATGGTTACTAAAAATAGAATTTTCTGTGAAATTCCTTTAAATCGCTACTCCTTCCACAGTGTTGATCTGATTTCAATATAACTTGGTACACAAGTAGACTACACTAAGATACATAGAATAGTGCATCGGTTTTTGATTTCAGTAAACGGTGTTGCCATGGTTACTAAAAGTAGAATTTTCTGTGAAATTCCTTAAAAACGCTACTCCTTCTACAGTTTTGGTCTGATTTCAATATTACTTGGCACACAAGTAGACTACACTAAGATACATAGAACAGTGCATCGGTTTTTAATTTCGATGAACAGTGTTGCCATGGTTACTAAAAATAGAATTTTCTGTGAAATTCCTCTAAAACGCTACTCCTTCTACAGTGTTGATCTGATTTCAATATAACTTGGTACACAAGTAGACTACACTAAGATACATAGAATAGTGCATCGTTTTTTGATTTTAGTAAACGGTGTTGCCATGGTTACTAAAAATAGAATACTCTGTGAAATTCATTTAAAACGCTACTCCTTCTACAGTTTTGGTCTGATTTCATTATAACTTGGCACACAAGTAGACTACACTAAGATACATAGAATAGTGCATCAGTATTTGATTTCGATGAATGGTGTTGCCATGGTTACTAAAAATAGAATTTTCTGTGAAATTCCTTTAAAACGCTACTCCTTCTACAGTATCAGTTTGATTTCAAAATAAGTTGGCACACAAGTAGACTACACAAAGAAACATAAAATAGTGCAATGGTTTTTGATAAATACAAACCAGTAGAGCTACAATCTCGACAGAGACTTCTGGTTTTCTCTACATGCTAATTTATGCATTCTGATTTTGATTATTTGAAACTGAACTTTAATGGTATCTTGAACACCATAGATGCCTGAATGTCAAAGTAAGCAATAACAACTTATTCTTCATGTATTTTACATTTGATGTCTCAAATCTTTGGATATTTCATAACAAAGGTTTTCTCTCAATCCCATAAAATTTGAGATAACTAGTTTTTAAATCTTAATTTACATTGAATTACCAAATTAATAGTGAGTATAGCGAAGCACTGCACTAACTTTAAGAGAGAGGAAACAATAAAGAGTGCAGCTATGGTTTTAAAAAGGTCTCTTACAGTACTTGGCTGTCACACGTTTTTCTATCATTGATAGCAAACTAGTAAAGTTCATTTGACTCTTAAAGAGATATAAGGCTTTCCAAATATTGACAAGGATGCTTACAAAATGAAGCTGAACACCACAGTTGCAACCATTATTGAAATACCACCACTATTGATATAATTATTTCAAAAGTGGTTGAGGGTGCATTTCAATAACAAACATAGGTTGCAATGACTATTGAAATAAAGATTCCAATAATGGTTGAGATTTCATTTCAATAACAAACATGTTTTATATTTTCTCCTATTCCTTATTTACATGTACATGACTTTATGTATAAGATTTGGTCTATTTGGATTCAGGCTTCTGTGTAATAAAATAAAAGCATTGTCTTTAATAAGAAAATCTTCACTGTTTAAAACTTTGGTAACAAGATGAGTTTGTAAAACACTGATACCCTCGTATAGCAGCTTGCTATGGAGAGGGTTGAATTCTCTCAAATGTATGACAAACACCAAAGGTCAAGGTTAAAAGGTCAGAAATGTTGGTAACCAAAGGTAGGTCTTGTTTCATGGAATACACCGGTCCTGACTGTGTAATAATTCATACGAAACAGAAAAATAAGCCACTCAAAAACTTCAATGATCTTTAATAAATTGATAAATTAATTATGATCAACAAGGAAAGAAATCCATCAAAGAGTGTACGTTATATACAGATAAAATAATTTTATCCAAAACAGTTCTGAGAGTATTAAATAAAATTACATGTACATAAAATTACATGTAATGTATATATAGTAAACCATCAAGCACTGGGCAGAATATGTAGATGATGTATCACAGTATCATTTTATAAGGCGGACAAATTAGAAAATAGACATGTCATATATGTGTTCATAAGTATATGAAGTAGGAAATTAAGAATGTGAAAGACAAAAGTTATTCAAAATAAAACAAATACAGATATAAAATTATTTTGCTATATAAAGGGCATAAACAATTAATTAAGGTACAATTTATCACAGTTTTAAACAAATTTCTTTTAAAAATTATTGTGGAGGACACAGACTGAGGTTCATAATGGAAAGAAAAGTCTTTGTGTGTTTGATGTATACATTGTACAATCATGTAGACATTGAGCATATGAAACCTTAAACATAACACCAAGTATTTAAAGAACATTGCATATAAAATGGAAAATTTAGAAAGGTAATTGTGATGCATATTCTCCTTAAAAAATATATCAACTTTTCATATACATAAGTTAATGTATTTTCAAATGAAGGAAAAAAATTACCCTTTTGTAGAAGAATTTTTCAGGTTATTGTACAGCAATTAATAATTGAAAAGGTAAAGAAGAAAATCTAACACACTACAAAATAGCTACTCATTGATTTGTGTACATAATGTATGCTACAATGGCTAACAAACTTCTCTTGTCATATGGTAAAATTGCACAAATGATTTGCATACAATGTATTTGTAATGAATTGTCACTTCAATCATAATGCAAAACAGAGCATTTCGAATCTGAGTTAAGTCCACTCCCTAGGAACCTAGATGAGTCAGATCCTCTCCTTTGAATCCCATACATAGCCTAGTTATTTTTACCCACAATTCCATTGGCTGTGTTGAAGAGGTTGATAGGACTGTTACCGTCAGTGATCAAAACACTCTCCATTCCAAGAGCTTTCAACAGATTTACCTGTATTAAAAATAAAAGGAAATTGTCAAAATGGGATATCATATTCAACGTATAATACAGCTGCTGAACTTTGCCAACTCTCAAATTCCAAATACCACGGATATGTCAAAGTGATTTGAAAGTCTGTATCATTTTTTCAAAAATTGAAGTATTTTACCCCAAATATCTAAAATCCTTGAATCATTTTTTTTTCTCTTGATCTAATAAAATTTGCACGGGGTAACAAGAACATTAATTTTAAATTTATTTATATAATGAGTTTCCATAAGTACATGTATTTACATTAATTTTGTATCTTCATGTAATAACGTTGCATAAATTCATGTATTTGAATACAAGTTGGGATATGAAAAACCTCTCCATACCTGATAAGCTTTGGATTGCAATCGCAATGGCCATTTTAGCATGAATCGACATGTACTTCGATCCTCAAGAAAATGTGTAGAAAATGATAAGAACAAAATAACCGCAGTGTTGTAAAAAAGAAAACACAGCACTGCTATTTTTACAGACTTAGCATATTACAATAATAATGCCTTTCTCTCTCTTGATCTATTCATTCATAACCCTTTACATTTGATTCCTTGCCTGAAAAATGTGAAGTCCTCAACAAAATGAAGAAGAAAAAAAAAAATGATGTGAAAATAACTGTGTTGTACACCAGGTGATAAAACAAATTATAAATGTTAACTACACAGTTTCTAAAGTATTAATTACAAAACTCAATATTGGCCATTTTTTTTCTTTGTGGACCTAACTCACAGATTCCTGAGCAGCTAGCTGTGCATTGTGTTCAATTTCTGCTGCCTCTGCTCTCAATCTGGCAGCTGGAAATGGAAAATAAAAAAAAGGGAATTTATTCATGTAAACAGATGCCGTTTTCAAAATATGATTTTTGTAGAAATTTTAAGCCTTAACAGCAACATCTTTTGGGTTCCCTTTTCCATGTTTTAAAATCAGTTGTGCTTAAGGGTGGTTTTATGCCCATGTTCCAAGGTCAACCTACATGGTAACTGATATCACTCACCTCTCCTCTTCCAACTTAATAGTAACAAACCTCACACTTAGGGATCATTTCCATCTGAGGCTAAATGTACAATTTTTAAACAAGACACACTTGTCAATCTCACCCTCTTTTGTCAATGATGATCCTCTCATACTATTTCATTTGGTAAGCAGCGGGTTAGCTGGCGGGGTGCATTGTGTAGATCACTATATTTCTGACACCTTATTTTTCGCTCTCATTGATCTGATTAGCAAGACAAAATTTTCACAAATTGTGGTGATTGCTTTATATAATCTAAAGGAATGCTTTTATACGCGAGAATTAAATTTTCCGAGCACACTGTCTCGCATAATTGCATGAAAATAAAGTTTTTGCGAATAAAAAGTGATTTACAGTATTTTGGCTTCTGAATCGCTATAATAGTCAGTACTCTTATTAGTGTTCATACTGTATTCAAAGAGCTGAAGTAATGTCTGCTAAAATAAATAATGTCAAAATCATTGGCATACATTTGAGCAGACAAAAGGCCAAATTTTACACCCGCCAAGAAAACCCTAAAAGGTAACTTTTGTCAATCACCTAGTTAGCCTGTGCATGGATATGACATGTAGCAATCTCTCAAAGTTTACCGTTACCATCTGCGGTTTAGACTTCTGGAGCCAGTTTTAAATGCTACTCACCTTCAATCTCGCTCTCACACTCAATGATGATCCTCTCGGCCTGAGCCTGGGCCTCTGCCTTGGCCTGCCCTGTAGACTCGACGGCAGCAGTGATAGCCTGGAGCTCCAGCAGTTTGGTTCTCTCCTTCTCAGCCTCTTTCTCGTTGTACAGTTTTTGTCGTTCTAATTCCCCCCGCGCTATCTGTTCATTCCTAGCTGCCTCATGTGATGCTGCTGCCTCAATGGAGCTAAAAAAGCGTAAATTTTTTATTTGTTGAGAGTCACTTTTATAATTTTCTTTGAATTTATTGTAATTTTTTTGTATATGAATTTCATAAGAGTTATCTCCCTTAAAATGTGTTTTTTAGTACATTTTTCATTTCCATGAGAAAATTTGAAAATATACTTATTCAAATACATAATGCAAGCTTGATGAAAAGTGGACATTAAATGGATTTTCTTTTAGAAATAAATTTCTATAAAGATTTTGGATTAATTAATGTGTCTGGGTCTTACTTAGTGGAGATCTCTATGGCCAGTTGTACAGATTTACTGAGGCTGTCTCTCATCTTTACGTCTACTGGTTCTATACTCTGGATGTCCATGCTGCTTAGTACCTAAAATGGATATAGGCATACAGTGTATTCCAACAAAAATGGGAATACAATGTTTTCCAATTGCTGGATATACATTGCCGTATTTACACTGTGTGAATGTAATTGAAAATATCATTGTCAACATATACAATCATGCAAATCATTTTACATTTATCTCAATTGCAGTTTGATTTTCTTAATGCAGGGTCTTTAAAAGAGAAATTCTGTCTACCAAAGAAAAGTAGCAATTTTAAGGGGTTAATTAATGTCATTCATAAAATTAGTGATTTAGATACATAACACTTCACTGTGAAGTAGCATAAATAAAAACAAAAGATGAAACAATACACCTGTAGACTTTTATTCATGTGCGAAAAATATTCATGAGTTTTGTGACTTATTTTCAGTTGGGATATACATTGCCGTATCACTGTGTGAACCATTTATTTTGCTTTGCTTTTGTAGAAAATGTTTCTTTATTTGCGAAAATTAATCATTGCCTATTAATTTCAAACTGATGAATCGCTAATAATAGTTGGTTTACAGTATCTAAATAATGATTTATAAATAAATTTCCAGACATATTTTATCAAATTTGACACCTACCAGGTTATTTTCAGGGAACCTGACTTCATTATTCATCTGACCTTTGGCATTTAGACCAAACACTGCTGTGGTGAGTACTTGGTTGGAATGTCGATGGAAGTCATCAAACGTGACCTGAGCCACAGCAGCTCTGATACGAGCACCTGTAAATTAATTAAAATAAAATCTAATTTTGTAATTTGATCGATTGAATGTTTTATCAATAACAATCAAAAAGACTTCTACTTTTTTCAGACTGACTGGATTTTCAAGATGCAACAACTCTTATTTAAATGGAAATACCAGGCCTGAAAATATTTTTATGGAGAACAATAGTCTTTTTAGGTAGATGTATCAGGTGATAATTTTTTCACTCTCTTACATGTAGGTCTCTTTGTTCACCAATATTTGAGGTGTAATAAGGTGTAATAAATAGATGTCCAGAAATTTTTTTTTTTTTTAACATCAAATTACCCAATCTTACCCATTTGTTTAGAAGCAAATCCAATGAAGTCTGGCACAGCAAACAATTTACATTTCTCTTCTTCTGGACCATCAAGGTCATACTGAAAAAAAAGACAAATTATATATTAAAAATATTAAAGCGTCTTCTTCCAATAAAAAAAAAAACCAACTTATTCATAAAATGCTCTCTTTTGCCTATATATATATAGATATGTATATATACACTTCATGTTTACCTCAAAATGATTGTTAAACGCCACTTGGATTCTTAAACGAGCATGGTCTGATGTTTCCACCTAAAGTATTTATTAGGAATTATAAAGCCTTGTGTAATGCAGGGGAAAAAATAAATCAAATAAATAATTTTCATAAAATTGTAAAATTGAAATATCCTTTTGAGATTTAAAGAGTTTTCAATACATTGCAAATAAATATTTTTTCATTTTTTTATGCTTTGATATACATGTACATGTAATGGGATACATTATTGTTAAACATAGCACATACAAACTGTGTGTAAAATTTTAAATGTTCAAGTCTAAACTTTAAATTTATGTATATATGTATATAATTATACGAATCTACCTCTAATATGTCTGTTATAAAATCTGGCCCCAACATAAGGCACAGAGACTTTAATGAATTGGACTTCTTTGGTTTTCCAGCTAAAATAAAAGCATATTGATCAATTTTCATTTTTCTAGGTCTTATTTTGTTTTTTAAATACTGTTGACGTACTATTTTTCACGGGGTCATAATTCCAAGGAATCTCAATTTCTCTTGAATCAGCGGGTAGAAAATTATGCAAATTTCTTAGCCCCTCACTCTATTCCTTACAAGTATTTTGAATATGATGGGACAAATTTCCAAGGATAATTTGTGACCACATACATAGTGTAAATTAATACCAAGTGGAAAAAGTACTTCTACAGTAAGTTTAAATTGACAAAAAAAAATCAACATGAACTGGAGATTGCTTACCACTGAGGCTTAGAACATTGAAATTCTCGTGTGGTCCCAGAATGACTAGATCTGGACCAAACACCACTCTGGCCGTCCTCTCCAGGTAATTATACACCTGAACAGCTGTGTTACCAGGGCAACGGTAGGTCACCACCCTCGTCTTGTTTCTGCCCTGAAAAATGATCAGATTTTTCTAAAATTCTTAACAAAGAAAAATAATAAATAGATAAAATTTTCAAATTTAATTTTTAATCCCATGGTAACAGTTAATAACAATTAGCATTTAATCTAAAATAAAACTTCATGATTGAACTTACGAGCACAAAAAAAATTCAGTGGTAATTGTATTAAAAATTGTTGTAAAATGTGGTAATATTTACCGCTAATACGTGGGGGTCAATGGACTGTTCAAAATAAGCCATCTTTCTTATATCTCCTGTACCTAGCCCTCCTCCTTGTCTGCATGTGGAGTGAAATAGATAATTATTAAGTAAAAGACTAAATATTATCTCATCATGTTATCATTTGCATTAAAGTCATTCAATATATCAGGTTTCAATGTAAAAGCTTGTTATCCTGGTCCTGAGCTATTGAGACATGATACTGCATATAAAGTAGAATTTTTAGCAAGAACTCAATTTTCAATTTGCATAATTATAGAGGGTGCAGAGATCAGTAAAATTGAATATCGCTAACAGTTAACTGTGTAATATTGAAGAAGACAGGTAAATTAGGTTAACCTACTTGAGTAATTCTTCTGTAACTGCGGGTAGGTCTTTCTCCCACAGCTCCTCAAATGCTGTCAACATATAGGACTTAGGACCCATTTCTGCCCTCACCTGTTTAAAATAAATAGGACTTCATTTGTGATTTGGTTTACTATACATATGTATATACATGTAAATTTCTGTTTAATATTTTTACCTTTCCTGTCTGCAAGTCTTTGATATATATCCCTTCATTTTTGCTCAAAGGAATCTTGGTTCTACAAAATAAAATGAAAAATGGAGATTTATTACAAGATTCTATTAGAGCCACAGCTGCATCTGTTTTTTTTTTTAGTTCTTTTGTATTCTTTGACAAAGAAAGTTGAAAGAAATGTTAGAGAAATTCATTATTGCTGGGGGGGGGGGGGGGGTATGCTTTATGCTTGTACATGATCAAAATAAACACACATACATCAATCTTTTTAACTGAAATTAGAGACAGTTGAATGTTACAAGTTCTAGAAAAAATTTTTAAAAATGCTTTTTAAGTAATGTTTTAAGTTATATAGTCATCAGAGCAAAATGACCACTGTCTATATTCAGTACTAGATGACAGTAGCATATATTGTTTTTTACCTTGTTTTGACGACCTTGACCTCTATCGGGGGTATGTACTCCAGGGGTCCTCTCAACATCCATACATCTCCTGGACTCCTCTTCTTACCTACAGTGTATAAAACATAGAATAGGTTAATTTTGAGATTTGACCCTTCTTTTGGTAATTTGCAGCATTACATTGGACTATACAAAATCTGTCTCGACTCCACATTTCTATGGTATTTGAGACAATGATGTTAAAGATACAAGTTCAACTAAACCTTGTTGAACTTAAAGGCAACTTCTGAAATACAGCATATTGTAAAATCACATACTTTTATGGGGTCAAATTTTCGTGGTTTCAGGAAAATCTATTAGTTCTTGGGGATTTAATTTCGTGGACCATGAATTAATGAGCATTTATGTAGGTAACATTTTACATTTCATTGTGGTCATGAATTCGTGGGTCTCGTCATACCTTGAAAAAAAAAACAAAAATTGAACCCTCATGAAAATGTGATTTCACAGTATATGCACATGCAGTATTGTTTGCTCCACTGGAAAATAACTCCCCAAACCAGTTTATTTATTTTGTATTTGATGAGATGATTATACACTAGCTGTCTCACCTTTGAACATGGTGTCTCTGTATTCTTCCTCTGCTTGTAAAACAATGGCGTCGTCTTCTCCCAGAATGTGGACATTTTGTACTCCTTTCTCTAAGCTCTCCCCTACACAAAACAAAAGTTTTCTCTCTAGTCTTTGTTACTTGGAAACATTATACATCAATTTTATTTCCAAAGATAAAAAATAAATATAAAAAATATCAATATTATTTTATATATATATATAGAAACATGTTACATGCTGGAATATAAAAAAACTATTTTTAAATGTAATATACATTAATTTTATTTTGAAAATTTGTCTTAAGGTAAAAAAAAAAAACTGCATGCCCAATTTTTTTTTAAATTTTGCATAACTTAAAATTAATTATGATAGAGAAAAGCTATAGGACTCAATTATTCATCTCCCTTTCTTGTACAGGGACGTTTATAACTCTTAAAAAAAAATCAATTTTATATGTAGAAATGTTGTTTTGTATGCTTTTTTTTGTAATTGTGTGCTGATGAATATAAAAATCGATCATTTCAATTTCAAATTGGTTTAAGGGAACTCAACCTATTGTGTACTTGCACTTTAAATGCAAGAACTTCATTTTAATTATTTTGAAATTTTGTCTAAGGAAAAAATTCAGAAACCTGCATGCCCAATTTTTTTTTTTTAAATTTTGCATAACTTAAAATTAATTATGATAGAGAAAAGCTATAGGACTCAATTATTCATCTCCCTTTCTTACCTGGGTGGAGGAAGAAGCTACAGGGCCCCACCCTCAGTTCCCGTTTATAACTCTTACCTGGGTGGAGGAAGAAGCTACAGGGCCCCACCCTCAGTTCCCGTTTTCCCAACTGTGGCTTCCCTTTCTTGTCTACCACATCTTTAATGACACAGTACTGTCCCTTCCACAAAACCTTGATGGTCTCCGCTGATGTCACTTCCTGTTTGAAGAAAAAAAAATTATACACATGGTGCCTGGATGAATTTAGAACTTCCTGCTGAACAAAATTTAAAATATATTCTCTCACAGGTTTATTTTTGCCTTAGGTTTATAATTTTCAATCTACAACCCTTGCTAGTTGAATATCCTCTCCTTTCAAAGAATTTACATTGGCAAAATTTTTCCTGTATACAGCATATAAATTAATGTACAATATGTAGCTTTACGACTTATTTTTTTTTCACAGGATAATAATCTTTCTTTGTACCAGCATCTGCGTGCAGCACTGATTTAATGCTCACAAACTTCCTTAATTAAAAAACCCCATCAAGATTCTGCTTACCACACCAATTTCTGGATAATAGTGATCAGTCTCAGCTCCCGTCAACAGCCACTGCTCTCCAGCCATTCTAATAAATTTATAATAAGTCTAGTTAGTAACTCAATTAATTAATTCAATCTTTACTGCTGTCCAGCTTTAAATTTGTTCAAACAAAAGAAAAACCAGCACCTTTCGAAACTTTCTTTTACAGCGCATCATGTTTATTCATCATTTTTTTATGACAAACTTTACTTCTGAATAAATTCTGCACTCAATATAAACAGAGTCCTCAACAGAAAAAATTACTAGTGATGAATGGATGTTAAAGGGACAAATCCCAAATAAATGTTATATCAAATAAATGTTGTAAGTTCTACTATTGGAAAAAGGTATAAATATAATGAACAGATCTAGTTCATCTAAAAGAATCCATAAACAATATAAACAATTATATGAGGAGGGCGAAAACAAACATTTCTGGAAATTCCAGAGGTGGGATCAGGTGCCTTGGAGGAGTCAGCTTCCCCCTTTTCACCGGACCCACTTGCCTTCTATAAAAATTTCCTTAAATCGTGACTGTCACTATCAAAGTACATGAATACTGTAAACCAACTTTTATTTGCGACGACTTTATTTCACGATTTACCAGGGGTGACTAAGCGACGATTATAATTTTTGCGATCAAGCCAAATTTGGAACTGTTATTAATGGACACAGAGACTTTAAAGAATGGTTCATGGCGAGAAATATTCGCGATGAGTGAACTTTGCGAAAATATCTTGCACAAGAATAAAAGTTAGTTTACAGTATACCTTTGGATTCCCTGACTGTCCACCATGGTTTGTAAGGCCTGTAGGAAAATCCCGTTGTTTGGAGTCAGAGTGATACATTGTAGAACGGAAACTATCTGTGAAATAAATGTAAGATGTCAATTAATATACTCAACGTACATTGTCAATATACTAATACAATGTCAGTGCATGCTGTGTACAACTCAATGGACATGTACTGTGTCAATTTACAATATCACTATAATAATTACACAAATCAATGTACAGTGTCAATATACAATATCAAAATGTACTTTATACAACCCAGTGTTATGCACATTGTCCCTAAGACTCAGGGGTCATGGAACTTTTCTTTCTATGCTTCACACCAGTATTTTTATCATGAAGCGCTAATGCGCTCCATAAAATATGCCGGCATTACATGTAAGCGTCGTAGTTCATGTCCCCATGAACTGTCAAAAATTAAATTCATTTCTTAAATGTATGCTCATTTGTGCATGCAATAAAATGTACTACATGCAGCAATTACATCTGCATTCAAAATGTAAACAAAACAGGAAGGATGCCAAGAGTTATATTAAAATAAATAGAGAACCACTAAGGTATACAGTCATTTCTATTTTTGGACTTTTTCAAGAGGAAGAAAGGAGGAAACTGTATTAACATGTATGTCCTGGTATTAAATCCAGACTTTTTTTCATATTTGAACAACTGCTAAATCAGTAAATCTCATTATCAAAATAGCTAAAAAGAATTTCAGAAAAAATAATGATATGAAAAATTATGTGCCCTGAATTATGTGAATGCATGATGTACAATCAGCGTTGTGGGGGTCTGGGGTACCAATGTTGCTGGATTTCCCATATTATGTCCCTATAAAACCAACAAAATTTTGCATGCCCATTGAACATTGACCACCCACAAATCAAAGTGATTCCAGAGTATTAAGGTGGAAATGATAAATTGTGTGGATAGAAGTCTGACCTCTTCGTAAACATCAGGGAGGTACGCTCCTGGCTTGTTGATCATCCATTCCTCTCCAGTGACTCGTTTCCTTTCCAAATAAAGTACACAAAATATACATACTTACTATTTAAACTGGAAGATAAAAGCTAGGAAGGACATGTATTTCTACATTTTATCTGCAAGATTTATAATAGTCTTTCATTTATTCAAGTGCTTGCACTTAAAAATATGATAGTTTTTCAATAATTCAATTTCATTAATTTAAGATTAAATGATTGCATAAAATAAATATGATTCATTCTCCATATCCACTAGACTAAGTTAAAAAAAAGAAATTTATTTGCTGTCCATTTTATTGTTTATTTTTCCAATATCTTCCCCACCCCCATTCTTATACTCCCAACTTTCTAAATGGTGTAATACCGGCAAAACCCCTAGGTTATGAACATGATGCACTTTCAAATGAAGATTGAAGTGATTTTAATAACACAGAAGAATAAACAAAATATACAAATTAATGCAAACACAAAAAGAAACTGTATAGAAAAAAGCAATTTTTACTAAACTGCATGCGCTGTATTTTCTAAAACATTTTAGCATAGCTGACTTATATTGCATACTGTAAACCAACTTTATTTCGCGATTTACTGGGAGTAAAGTTGTTCGCAACGATTAATTTTTGCGATCAAGCCTTTTTTGGATCTATTTTTAATAGAAAAAAGACTTTAAGGACCTGTTCACGGCGAGAAATATTCGCGATGACAAGGCTCTCGCTAACCTTGCGAAAATTTCTCACACGCTAATAAAAGTTGGTTTACAGTATATTACTTTAAAATGCTAATTTTAAAATAACAGCTAGACAAGACACCTACTTTCCAAATCGATCTGTGAATCCTTGAGTTGCTCTTAATTTTAATGACTCTCCCTGCCTAATTACAAGAGGTTTGATGATGTCTTCTACTTCCTGGATGTAAATAAAAAGGATTTATCCATGCATGAACATTAAAACAAACTATTTCTTTAAAAAAATTTACTTTCACCATGTTAACACAATTCACCAAAGCTTTAGAGTACAAAAACTATAATAACATAATGATTTTTTTTAAAAAGTGGTTTTTTTTTCAATTTTAAAAAATGTATTAATTCAGCAAAGTTAAATTCTATTTGCTGTGTTTTTGACATTCAATAAATAAATTAATTACAATTTTAAAGTTTTTCTTCTGGAATCTAAAGGTATAAACAGTCTTCAGATAAAATAATTGAATTGACCCATGTTGACCTTGTTGACCCTTTACTTACTGCCTCTGGCTTGGGTCGATAGGTCAAAGGTCCCTCCAGCTGCCATTTATCTCCAGCCTGGTGTTTTCCGTGGGCGTCTTCAAAGTCAATGTTAGCGACCAATCGGATTGCATGATTGGCCTGAATGACAGGCAGAGGTTTGATAGCAATGCTGTAGTCAGGTCTGTTCCTCAGGAAGTCAGGAGCATGGAGAAGAGTTTCCCCGGGGTACAAGGGGAAAGGAGAATCCTATAAATAGAAACAATAGTCCTAAATATAGAAAAAAATTCAAGATCAACTTCTGTTTTCATTTTCTAACTTCCGAGAGTGAAATTAAAGTTTAAATTAAATGTTGCATAAATATCAGTGTTTTAATTTGATGCCTGGGAATTTCATTTTTTCTAGTATAAATCTATGAACCAAGAAGATGGGAAATTTCAGAAGGGTTAATTTAAATTGCCGTTACACCATTTACAAGCAGAGTGGTTTGTATTCTATCCTGGAAACTTATTCAAGTCTGCACATTTTGCCAGCAAACATAGCTAAAGAGCTAATATCTCTGACCTTTATACATGACTGCATAAACATGATAAAGTCATGCTTAACTGTGTAAGGTTAAAAATAAAACTAGAACTGTCCAAACAGGACAAAATACCCTCCGCTGGGTTTTTCTGAGGTACGTTTTTCCATAAAGATTATATTTAAGATATGTATCAAACACAAATTATGAAATTTTTTTAACAGTGACCTTGAACTTCTCCAAATGACCTTGGGTCAAGGTCATGACACACTCTTGGGTCATGGGCAATCTTTGTGTGAAAAGAGAACCTACCAAGTTTATCCATAAGAAAAATATGGACCGGACACAAATTATGAATTTTTTCTTCAAGTGACCTTGAACTTCCCCAAATGACCTGGGGTCAATGTCAAGACACACCCTTGGGTCATGGGCAATCTTTGTGTGAAATGAGAACCTACCAAGTTTATCCATAAGAATGATATGGACCGGACACGAATTATGAAATTTTTCTTCCAGTGACCTTGAACTTCCCCAAATGACCTTAGGTCTAGGTCATGACACACCCTTGGGTCATGGGCAATCTTTGTGTGAAATGAGAACCTACCAAGTTTATCCATAAGAAAGATATGGACCGGACAGGAATTATGAATTTTTTCTTCCAGTGACCTTGAACTTCCCCAAATGACCTTGGGTCAAGGTCATGACACACCCTTGGGTCATGGGCAATCTTAGTGTGGAGTGCATAACGTCCCTCTGCTTATGGACCGGACTGTGCACAGACAGACGGACAAGGTGATTCCTATATACCCCCCAAACTTCGTTTGCGGGGAATATAATAATAAACTTACAGCATTAAACTTGACTGCACTTTGTCCAATTTTGAGTTCACTTGCTTCACCTGGTACATAATTGCTGCAAAAATAAATTTTAAAATAAAAGATTACTTTGCATTAAATTTGTTTAATTACTTTTATCTCATACTCTGACCCAATCCCCCAAAATTTTCTTTTACACATCTGTAGAAAATTTTTATATTTATATATCCAAACAGAATGTGCCTCAATATGTTAACACAAGTAAGCCCATTCATTTTAACCCCTCCTACATGTATCTTTTCAACTCAAATATTAACACAAAACATATGCAAAACAAAAAAAAACGTAATTCAGACTAATTTCTCATGGAGGTAAAAGTAGTACCTGCAAGGATCTTTGATAATGCAATAAAAGCCTGGTTTTACAATGACCATAGGTAGGGGCTGGGTCACCAACTTCTCGTTTGTTTTCAGTGGTACTGTCTGCGGCCCAACTTCTAATCTGGTGATGTTAGAATTCTGTACAAAAGAAAAAAAAAATCAGTGAGTTCATTATAAAAAATAGCCAATACAGTTAACTTAGGAATACAGCGAAACTCCTTTAGTACCAACACAGATATTGCAAATTGTATAACAAACTTAAAAAATAAGTTATCTTGGATCCTCATGCTATACAAATTTAATGAATTCCTTCTACGGATATATAACGAATAACAGATATAATGAAGTAATTTATAGGTTCTAGTGACTTAATTAAAACCAAGTTTTACTGTTTTGTTTTTATTGCAAGGTACCGTAAATAAATCTTTCTAAATTTACATAATTATTTGTACATGGACAAGACCCGTTCAGGCTCCTTGAATAGTCATACATGTACTGTTGATTATTATCATAAAAAGAAAACAGTATAAACAAAAGAAAACATAATAATATTCATGATAATTATTCTAAATACTTGACCTCAATCAATAAATTTTTTTTACTTATTTAATTTTTTTTTTTTTGATTGGGCTAGGGGGGGGGGATACAAAATTAATTTTAAAAAAGAAATGATAAAAACTAAATGAAATAAAAAGAAAAAAATATAATGAATTATGTCACTAGTGGATTTTTTCAAGATCCTGATCAGAAAAAATTATTGAAAATTCCCAAAATTCAACTCTTATCTAACACTTGATAAAGAAAAAAAAAACATTGATTGAAACCTTTTTTTTTTATAGTGGGAGGAAATGTAGCTCAGACAGGTAAGTCTAGTGCATTGTAAATTTTGTATGCACATATGATTACACTCTCAACTTTTTTTAGGACAAAACACCCGTGGATTCTATTTTAACCCATTTCTTAAAAAGTACTGGAGAAAAGAAGAATAATAATACTATATTGACAACAATGAATGATCCCTGTAAGAAAAATAAAAAGTTTAGGCATGTTTGCGTCATATTTTGTGAAAAAATCAGAGAATCCTATATATTGGTCACTTGGGGGCTTACATTTTGGAATGTTTTTATGCTAACTAAGGGTAATAAACAAGCATGTGACAGTCTGTTATAAAATGCAGTGTAACTTTTGTTCCATACATAGTAGAAGAATGATATTTGAACACATATATAAGGAGTCTCCATTCTTTATGTATCAGTAAGGTCAAGGTCCTATCAAGAGGTCAAAGGTCAAATATTGTGACATCATGTACTGAATCTTTCAGTTTTTATGCCATTGAAATTTTTTTGATTGCAAATATATCTGCAACCACCAGTTCAATTTTCTTTATTTTTACACATTTTATTCTAGGACCCATTTGAATCATTCTGTTGATTTTTTGTAAAAATTGAATTATACATTTTCTCTGAAGAAAACTTAAACTGTCGGATATTTACATGTGAATTTTCAATTCTGATGCTACTTATATGTTCTACTGTTACTTAATATTTTACTCAAATTTTCCAGTATCAAGTTGACTTACTCCCTTAAAGAACAAAAAGGTTTTCTTTATTAAAAGTATTACATAAATTTGCAATAGATCAATTGATAATTCTAAAATAAGGCTCATTCTCAAGTCAAATATCTGATTTCACAATCTTCTTACAGGGGTCTGATAGGTCATATTTCAGACTATGTGGGCAAAAAATGTGCGGTTGAATTTTTTTCATATCATACATAAAGAGAGATTTTGTATCCTAGAACAAAATATCAGAGTTTCAGGAAAATTGAATTTGAGGAAAAATTTGGCCTATCTATTGTGTCCTACCTTAATATACATTTATTGTTAATTTTAAAAATAATTGCGAAATAAAGTTCTTTGCAAATCTTGTATGCCATCAAGATTAAAATGGAAAAACCAAACCAGACCATTGATGAATTTATAAACATCATAGAAAATTTTGGGAAATAATAGTGCTTACAGTCATTTCTATTTATAGTCTCTGCAAAAATATACTGAAGTTTACCTAACCTGTTAACATGCGTTTAAAAATAAACTTGAATTTATTTAATAAACGTTTCAAGTGTGTGTACAAGTCACTGTAAATGAGCATGGCCATGAAAATCACGAAATGCTTTAGTCCAATATACATTAATAGACGGCAAATTAAATTATTTTTATCTTCTTCTAAATGAACAACCTATTGGTCACTTTCCATCTCCTCGAGGGCTAATTAATCAAATACAAGTCATAACAAGTCTACTAAACAAATTAGTTTTAAAACCAATATTTTTCTATCATTGTCATAATATGCAAACTTTGCAAATAAAGACACGATGTAAAGAGTCCATAATTCAAGTTTTAGTTAGGCCCTATCCATGGGACCGTGCATAGTAAACAAACATAAAACATCCCTCAGATTTCAACTTTTTACAAAATATCACAAGAAAATAAGCTTACCAAATCCAAAATATGGACAAATTGGAAAGGTTTTAATCCAAGAATAGTGTTAGACATATTTGTCTGTGTTTGCTTCCTTGCTCAATGGAACTGATTTAGATCGAAAGTGCTGGTGTCAGCCTATAAAAATTTGCTTGACATCTTACCGGAAGTAAATAAGTTAGCTTTCCTGAACAGGAACGACAACCGCTATTAAAAGCAGAGTTGACCATGCACAAATGGATTAGCAAATTCTCTCCCATACGGAGAAAAAACTTATTAACATGATTAATGGACAAACACACAAATGAACTTATCTAATAAATCCACTGCTTGTAAAGTCACAGACACAATTTTTTTAAGGGGAAGGGGGGCTGACTTTTGGCGGGAATGCTTGCATCACAGGTACTTGTGGACAGGCCCCCCCCCCCCCGGATATTCAACCCCAGGGCTTATTTGACAATTTTTTCACAATTTATATTTAGTACACTTATTGAACATGTGCCTTGAAATGTCCACAAGCAGGCACGTAGTATTGGGGGGGGGGGGGCATTGGGCGACTTGCCCCCCCCCTTATCCTTTTTTTTCCCCAACATTACCTTTACTATAGAAAATGTCTATTGAAAAGGTGGTTGGCCCCCCACTTTTTACCACAGTATATACATAGTAAGAAATTATAGGAAAAAATTGGAAAAGGAAGTTTGCCCTGAAAAAACTTGGCCACCTCCCCCCCCCCCCCTCCTCCCCACGAAATAGGATTTTCGAGTTTGGGGTAATTGTCCTTTTTTTTTTAAACAAAATTTTTAAAACCAATTTTTTTTTGCTTGTCAACTTTTTTTAGGTAAGTAAAACAATTTTTCTCAGGTTGGCCCCCCACTTTTAAAAACGATGCTACGTGCCTGACAAGTACCTGTGGCTTGCATGTGTGAACGTTTTTTTTCCCCATGAAATGAGAAAATTGCAGAATGAATGAATAAAAAAATAATCGTTTCGATCTTCTTCTGATTTAAGGAAGGGTTTTCTGTCGAGTTCAGTCAGGAGAGAGAAGCAGAAACTTTCTTTATAAGAACATACAACGTACATCGTATGCATAGATGTAATGTGTTATGAAACAAAAAGAATTCTTATGATACCTTTAATAATTTGTTTCTATATAATGAATACGTTAAAAAGTCTAACATTCCTAATGTTTTACTGAGCGGTCATAAAAAATCCATGTTTGACTGGGGAGTGAGATGTTCGAAACATTGACGTCGGAAGCAAATTGAAAGTTGGGGGGGGGGGGGGGCTAAGTGTTAAAAAAAATGTACCTTCAAAAAAACCTGATAAGCAAAAAATAATAATAATAATGAATAATAAAATGAAATGCATACTATGGAATTCCATATAGACAGCCAACTGCTTACTGCCAACTGCTGACTGCTTACTGCCAACTGCCAGCTGCTTACTGCCAGCTGCCACACAAACTTGAATAAATTTTATTTTTATATTGATATTAATGTGAATTTTCACAAAAGAGAAGAATGAAGACAACAAAACCTTTGAAGAGAGAAAAATAAAAAAAAGCTTTGTCGTTTGGCAGAGAAATGTTTTAAAAATAAATTAACATTTTTCTATTATATTCTATAGTTAAAAATTTCCTCAGATGTGAAAGGTATAATATCTCTGTGTGTTATAATGTTTCACATACATAGATTTTTTTTTTGGGGGGGGGGGGGGGGGCATTTAAAATTTATACAGTCATGGGTTAATGTATGAACTAAACAAACTAAAACTTACCTTGGACCCTCCACTTAGAAAACGCCGATCAAACATTTTTATCTCTTTGTTTTTACAAATAAGATATGTATTACATGCATAGATCTAGAGAGAGGGGTCCGGACCACCCCTCTGAAATTTGTAAAGTTATTTATTGCACAAACTAAACCAGCTAAAAATTATGTAGATTATTTTAGATATTTAGAAATTTAGAATTTTGATTCAAATACTCAAATTTTAGATAACCAAAAAAACTTTTTACATTCTGAGTTTTTAGAAGTTTACTTCAAATATCCAAAATATCAAATTCGAAACCCCTTTTGAATTTTGAAACTATGCCAAAAAAGTGTTTGGTCGAGCAAATGAGGTTTTAAGATATTTAGAGTATTGAATAGATACGGACATAGTTTCAAAATTCAAATCAGGTTTGAAAATTTGATATTTTGGATATCTGAGGTAAAAATCTAAAATCTCCGAGTGTTTCGGTTATTTGATATATGAATGTTTGAACTAAAATTCTTAATTTCAAAAAAATATAAGACGTTTTGAAATAGTTGAAATTTAGAAGTTTGAAGTAAATTTTGAAATATCAAAAGTCGTAAAACTGTTAAGAAATTTGAAAAATTTAGATTTTTGAACTAAAATACTAAATTTCAATATACCAAATTCAGTTTGAGTTTTTGATATTTAGAAATTTGAACTTATGTATTTACATTCTAAAACTCTAAATAATTTTTAAAAAATGAATTGTGAAGTGTAACACGGAGCATTATTATATTTCATGAATTAAAAATTGTTGAAATTGTAGCAATTGCTTTGAATGCTACTTCCACCAGCACTATTTGTATATCAAAATTACTTTATCCACGGAATCAGTCATCTTGACGTTGTACAACCCATTCCTTCATTAAAAGATTTTGAGAAAAAAAAATATTTCACTAAGCATAGTTCAAGCCTCCTTATTTTATTTGTCTCCAAAATGTTTACATAATATAGAATTACACATTCTCAATTTAATATATACAACTAAATCTATAAAATAATTCGTAATTATTTATTGATACAATATTTTAGATGCAGCTAAATTTGAAAGAAAGTTACAAAATTTAGAAATTAAAAAATATCTAGTAATGGTCGCAGCCATTGTAATAGCACTCTCCTTCGTCAACCGTACAGGTGACATCCGTGATGAAATCATTTCTTTTCCAGAAAACCTCCTCACCCTCCAGTACGGTTTGGAGGACTTGGGTTTGATAAATGGAGTCCTTATTAGAAGGATCCATGATGTCCGTGTCGATAACGACAAAATCAGCATGTTTTCCTACTTCCAGGGATCCAACATCATCTTCCTGCCGCATAGCGTAAGCGGCATTGATTGTATACATCTCCACGGCTGATTTGATGTTGATAGACTGATGTCCTCTAGAAATAGCGTGCTGGAGGCCCACAAAGGGGTTCAGATCACTGACATCCCAGTCGCTGCTTAGTGTCACCTTAGCCCCAGTGTCAAACACGCTTTTTACGGGAATGGACTTGTACGCCCTGTCTTCTCCAACCAATTTTGAAAGTGTTTTTCGATAAGAGGGTAGAGTAAAGTTTCCAGCGACTTGGAAGTCAGCAATGACATTTAAACGTGCGAAGCGGTCGATATCCATCTCATCAACTTGTTCCAAGTGAGTCATTCGATGACGAGTGCCATGGATCCACGAATCATTGAACGCATTCAGTGCTTGATGAACACCACGGTCGCCAATTGCATGAATATGGAAATCAAAGCCTTTGCCTGCAGCAAAGTGCTGAAGTTCTCTGACGTACTTCGTTAAACGGGTTTGGTCAAAAATATTCATGCCTCTGTTGTCAGGAATACCAGGTAAATGCAAGTTCTCCAAATAGGGTTCCTCCATGGCGGCGGTTGTACTTTCTAGCAAGCCATCAATGTACACTTTAATTTGATTTTTCTTCAAGAAGCAATCTGGGTTACCGTTAGTGTAAATGTCTTTCAGTTTTTGAATTTGGTATTCGTCTTCCTTCTGTGGATATGCCCAAAGTCCAAGATTAGCACGCACCGTCAATTTGTCTTCTCTACATACCCTATCCCACGCTTTGTCGTGATTTCGAGTCCAAAACAACCTGGCATCACATACTGAGGTTATGCCATTAGTGTTTAATTTTTCAAGACCATATATAAGTCCTTGATAATTAAGTTCCTCTAACTCAGCCGTTGGCTTCAAGGCAAATTCCATGATGGATATACCCTCATCCTCTAGAAGAATTCCATTAGGCTCATTGGTTACAGGTTCTCTCATGATAACGCCACCAGGTCTTCTCGTTGTGTTTTTTGTGATATTAGCCAGTTGGAGTGCCTTGGTATTCACCCAAACTGAATGCGATGTTTCCTCCAACATGACAACTGGGACATCTGGTAAAACTTCATCAATTATCTTCCTTGGTGGTTTTCCACCATTCCTGATGTGTTTCAAAATACTTGATATTGAATGACCGCCTCCAAGAATCCATTTTGTTCCTATCTGCCTTTTGGCACATGTTCTGAAAATGTTTTTAAATTCTTCACTATCGGGGTCTGTGTTTGGCTTCAGCTGACATGTACCACCAACATCCGACGCTGACTCTAAGGGATGAATATGGACATCATGGAATCCTGGAAGTATTGTTGCACCGTGGAGATTCAACACCGTGCTCCGACATGTGAAATACTCCAAAGCCTCACTGGATGTTCCTATGAAACTAACTTTACCGTTTTTCACAACCATGGCTTCCTGTGGAGTTTCATTCCAGCGTTGACCGTGAACAGTATAAATTTTCCCATTGATGTATATTGTACTGGCTTCTTCCCTGTACCATCTTTGTTCTAAAACTCTTCGGTCACATTGTTGCTGATCACCGAGTATGCATTGAATTCTCTTCAATAACCGATCTTTGCGAGAAAGTTGTTGGTTGAGCGGAATACTTTTTCCAGCTGCAAATCCAAGCACTCCGAAAATCATCAGATACTTCACAATTTTCATGCTGCCGATCACACTTTTCCGAAAAACTGACAAAATCCAGTTTTTAAACCTTTTTAAGGTGGATCTATACCTAGGAAGGAATTTACAGAAACACAACCGAGACAGAATCAATATTATTTTTAAAAATAGATATAAAAATACAATTAAAATTATTTTTACAATAACACCCCGGAAACGTTTTATTTGCTGACGAAGTTTTCAACACAAAACTGCAATTGTGACACGGTCAACATTAGATCCTACGTAAAATACAGTAATGATTAATTGTTCATGTTTTTATTTGCTTTTTTGAAAACTCAATTACTACACACCACTAAGCTTCCGTAACAGGTGTTTTAGTCGTTAACATGTAAACAATAGCCATTGAATAACATCTGAATCAACAGTTCTCTGATCCGAGTGCAAAAAGAAAAATATGCGAAAAAACAGCATACTTCGTGTAAGTTATTTAAAGAAGACTGAGATAATGATAAACATGGATGTGCATAAAAAAAATAATCAAAATTGTTGCTTTCCCTACTCTATAATGTGTTATATACCACATACATGTAGATGTACATTGTATTAAATAACATCAACGTTTTTGCTTCGGTGCCCATGAACAATTCTTCGTAGTCTTTAGACAAGACAAAGTGAAATACAGGCAATGGACTCTAATATACACGGTAAAAGTGTCAAAATTCTTAAACATTTTCTTTGAAATTAAACAAATTCCTTATTAATTGAAGGTTTTATATTTCCTTTTGAATTTATTATCATTTTTTTTTTGCGTTGATTTTTTAAAAACATGATTGTCACTTTCAACAACATGCGACCCGGCATACTTCGAGAAACCATGTTCAAAGCCACTGAAGTTCTGATGACTAGATATAACTGCATGTTGTTTCCTGTTGCTCCCTTAATAGGGACAAATACATGCAAATTATTATATATGTTCTCCTATTCAAATATTACTTAAGGTATTGAAAAAAAAAAATAAATTTAAAATAAAATCTATTTCGCTTTCAATCTCATGAAATTTTACTCGATCTGTCCAAAAGTAAAGACAAATTAATATTCCTTTTCCCGAATGTGTTTAGACAGTTCTCAATATATTTCTTTTCTCTTTCCATCTCAAAACATGTAATGGGTAGTGCATTTTTTTTTTTAATTTTCAATTTTCCCTATCTTACCATCTCTGATAAATCGTAGTTATGTATAATGCATGCATTGACTATATTGAGATACAGATACGTTATGCCTGGTAGATTCCAATGAATTCAGGTCCGTGATTTTAATGTTTAGATATTCATTGAAGTGCTAGCGTTCAACGAATACTTTAAAAACAACCTTTAACCCAAAATTTCAATGACGCTCTTTTCCCCATTCATCCCTGTAAACTTCCGTGTTTATTAATTTTATACGATAAGAGTTATTTTCACTTCCCTGGCTTATGCAGTGGACATTAACCTAAACGATATGGCCAAGTTTAGTATATACCGTTTCTTCCAAATATCATGCACTTTATATGCATTGCTTGTTACATGTTCTCTGTATGGAGTTAGTTCCGACCGTGAAGACTCTGATAAATGGAAATCCTGTAATTTCAGTGAGGCAACATGTAAATGTTTGAAACTCGACGAAGGGTCCATTAAGGCAGACTGTTCTCATTTACACTTGAATCAAGTTCCAATATTTCCACATAACGTGGTCTGGATTAACCTTCAATTTAACTCGATTGAAAATATTTCCGTCAGTTATCCGAAAAACCTGTTGTATTTGGATCTTTCTCACAACAGCATTTTTTCCTTTAAAGGTGATCCTTTTGACACTATCCCAAGGCTAAAGTATTTGAATCTATCCAGTAATAGACTAAGTCTAAATGAGAAGAATTTTTATCCAGGACTTTTTCAGCCTTTAGAATCCTTGTTAGTTTTGAACTTGAAAAACAATTCTGTAAAGATGCAACGAAACTGGAGTTATATTGGAGAAATTCTCAGTGAATTGATTTCGTTAGAGGAACTACGATTGGATGCAGTGGGAAACTTTTTACTTACAGAAGGTTTTTACAGACTAAAGAATCTTAGTCTATTGGACATCTCCGGTTCAAGAGGACATTGTGAAACTGTAAAAATCACACACGACTTTTTTCTCAACACACCATATCTTCAATATCTAGATATATCATCTTGTAAAATCAAACATATTGAGAGAGGTGCATTCGAAATTTTAAGGAATTTAAAATCGTTGGACATTTCTTACAACAAAGAATTAGGTTTTGCTTCACTCCCAAATATAACATATAATCTAAAGAGGACGTCAATCAAAATACTTTATTTACATAATATTAATTGTTTGACGGGATTGGGAAAAAGACTGTTAATTCGCCATGTCATGAACCTGAGAAAAACCAAGTTAGAAGAGATAATCTTATCCAGAAATAGATTGGAACTGTTCGAAAGAGGCCTTGTGCGACATTTACCACCAACCCTTGAAAGGTTATCCTTGGCCGAGAACAAACTATTACAAGGTCCATACATAGCAGACTTTATTGGCTTTCATAATTTGACTATGTTTAATATGAGTCTACAGTTTCAACCACCAGAATACATGACTGCAGTCTTCGAACTTTGCAAAGAAAATCAAGATGACCTGGAGCCTTTTAACTTCTCAATGCACAGTCATTCTACAAATTTCTCAACCTTTCTCCACAACTTTAGAAAATTCTACAGGATTGAAGTTTCTCACTGGAAACCAGTTATATTTGTACATATTCCTGAAAATCTCCAAACAATATATGTTAACGATAGTAGGCTGTATTCCAAGATATCTGCATTTGGTGTAATTGCACCGAAATTGAGGCATATGTTCTTTCAAAATAATATATTGAATGAATGGATAGGACCAATGTACGGGATACAAAACGTTACTCGTATTGATCTCTCGAATAATTTCTGTACGAAACTGTCATCCGATTTCTTTGTTAATGCAACAGGACTTTTACATCTCAATATTTCTAGAAACTCTGTTGGAGATAATCTTGAGAGAGACATGAATGGACTTGTATTTAGAAATTTGGTTTCGGTAGAAACATTGGACTTAAGCTCCAATAAGATTTATCATTTGCCGTATTTACTCTTGAAAAGATCTCGGAATATCAGGACATTGATTCTTAACAATAATCAACTTTCTGAGTTGAGGATCGGCGTGGGACATATGCATCACTTAGAACATCTTGATTTATCTGAAAATAGAATAGATTCTATCAGGGATGAAATCAGACAGGAACTGACTGATTTGATAAGGCTAAAAAACACGTCCATAGATCTATCTGGGAATAACGTTGACTGCTCGTGTGAAAATGTTCCATACATCCAGTGGATGGTTGAACATAAAAAAAATTTCAAAAGATTTGATGACTACGAATGTGCCATAAAAAGTCAGAAAAATTTCAATTTCAGCGATCCTGTTGTATCTCTTAAATCATTGGTAGTGGAATGCCGATCTTACACCACATTCTACATTGTTGCATCCATAGTCTTGACCATTTTAGTTTTCGTGGTCATCGCTGTGTTAGTGAAAAGAAATATTTGGACAATAAGATTTTCCATCTATCAATGTAAACAAAAAGTAAAAACAGGAGGTCGATATATGCAAATATTATATCAGAGAAACCGATTGAACTACACATATGACATATTTATTTCATATTCTGCCCGGGATCGAGAACTTGTTATGAAGAAACTTCTGTTGAAATTACAAGATTTAAACCTTGACGTCTGCATTCGTGAGAGAGACTTTTTAGCAGGTCGTCATAAAGCTGACAATATAATGGACGCGATAGAGAGCAGCAAAATGACACTTTGTGTTGTTTCGGAATCTTATCTAAAGTCAGGCTGGAGGGATTACGAACTAAACATGGCAAAACTCGAGGGTATAAAAAAGAGAGAAGGACTTCATTACGTATATTTAATAATTCTTCCAGGAGCCTACGATTTGAAGCGAAAATGTCCGAATTCCCTGAAGGATTTGATCAATGAAAACCTTTTTTGTCATTATCCTTCTGAGGAATCAATGGATGAACTGGATATATTTTGGAAGGACTTTTCCAGTGTTGTTGCTCATAAAATAAAAACTTTTAGCATTTAGATTTGAGATTTATATCCAAGGAAAGACATGTGTTAACAATTCAAACTATAATATTAATGATATGTATCTGTGTCTTGGCACTAGAGCAGAAATATTCGCAAGTATGAAAAGGCGAAATGATATAAACACGGGTCGAAAAATAAGTCTATATACAGTATAGTCATTTGATATAAAAAAAAATTAAATAAACAAATTGAATTTTTGTTATAAAGTCTTTCTTTTTTTTTAAAGGGAACATTTCGCTTAGGTTTTCATCAAAATTTAATATTGTAAGTTCTTGTGAACAGTCTATGCAGCCAAAAGCAATATAGACAGAAGATATCTGACAATTTATTCAGACATAGTAAGCAACTCAGTAAGTAACAAACTTTATTACATACCTAATGTATATCACTCAATTTTACTGTTGATTTTACGTTATCACGTGACTTCGTAATAAGACTTTCCGGATCACCACACTGTGGTTTTCTGAATCCATATCACCGCTCTCTGAGACTGAGGACGTTTTACACAGAAACATGACGTTATTTTTCTTGCGCGTTAAAAATTCCCTTGTTATTATGCTTTGTGTTTTGAATAAATGTTAAACAATTGATCTCTAAAGATTTCTCTTGCTATATTTTGCTAGTTATGAGGAGGTATATAATAAATTTATCATTTTAGCAGTAACTTGATCCGAAGGGTCGTATCACGTCTTGTTGACAGGCGCGGATCATCAGATCAAACTCGACGCTTCTAAAATTATCTTAGATAAAAAAAGTAGACTTATATAAGACAATTACCAGGTTAACAGGTTTTTAAAAATCTATTTATTGTGTAAAACAATCACTTATCAAGAGTGTATGTTTTTTTTATTAAGTACTTATCGTGTCACGCGTACGATTATAAAATTTACGTTTTTTTACCCACTACAATTCTTCAAACTTAAGTACCCTCTCTACACAAATGCAAAATGTGTTTTTTTTTTTTTTTGGATACCGCGAAAAATATATTGTATAAAGGAGTCAATATTGAGCTTATCTACCTAATTTTCACTGTATGGTGCGTGACATTTATCAACACAGTATCAGTGAATAGAATTCACTGTTGTTTACTTCCATAGTGAAAAACCGGACGCGGTAGTTCAGTCGATAGAGAGCTCGCTCGTGATCGGGAGGTCGTGAGTTCGAATCTCAGCCGCGACTGACCTAAGTCGATAAAATAAATGGGTAGCAACTGTTCCTTCGTCATGCGCTCGGCACTTTGAAGTGAAAGTTGCGGGTTCTTCGGATAAGTCCTTAAAATCCGAGGCCCCATGTCAGCGACTGGCGTTGGCACGATAGAGATCCCTTACTGCTTAATGGCCCTGAGTGTCGAGTAAAGGTCAAAATGTAGTGCTCTTCACCGGAATACGGTGACGTCTCCATATGACTGAAAAATTCTCGAGAGCAACGTTCAAGAATATACAATCAATCAATCCATAGGGAAAATACATGTAAACGACATGTTCAGTTAATTTATCATGACCTTTTAAATTGTTAAGAATACTTGAAATAATTACAAATTGAGTAATTTACTGTAAATTTCTATTTGTTAGAATTAAGATCTAAGGGCAGACTCTAATCGCAGAAAAATACCATAGAATCAGAAGGCTTAAGTGTGCGGTGTAGAGAGGGTTCTTAATCTTTAATGTTAATCCTTTTATATATTAGTAAATCAAATAATTTTTTTTAAAATTCGCATAAAACACCTACTATAAATTTTCTAATGCAAGTTTGATCAACAAACACATTTTAGAAATAAAAATCCTAGGTATCGTGCATGGCTTTTGAAGAAATTACATGTACATATATTTTATACATATAAAGTGCTTTATTTGCTTTTATTTACTTCGATCATTTTACAAATCTTAGTGTATTAAGATTTTCCTTTCACTGCAAAACACCATTAATCACTTCTTATTCCATATCATGTTAATTATCATTGGTTTCTATTGTTAGAATAAAATGAACCTCAATTTATTTGAATAACTTATTAGGTCACCCGAGTAACTCAGGTGACCTATTGCTATCCGTTTTCGTCCGTCGTCGTCCGTCGTGCGTCGTGTGTTAACATTTGAACATTTTCAGCTTCTTCTCTGAAACCACTGAATTAATTTCAACCAAATTTGGTATACAGCATCTATGGGTGAAGGGAAACAAAAATTGTGAATTTCATGGTCCCCGCCTCCCTGGGGCCTGAGGGGTGGGGCCAAAACGACTAAAATTAATGAAATCTTTAAAAATCTTCTTTACTCCTGGACATCAAGCAGGCAAACTATTGGCATGAATGTAATGAGCATCGAGTCCTCTACCAAAATTGTGAAATTCATGGCCCCAGGGTCAGGGGTTCTAGTGCTAGGGCGGGGCTCTATAGATAATTTTCGCCCCTTTCGCCCTCGTCGAATTTAAAACGGGGCGAACTCAAAGTAAACAGTATAATATCTTAAACAGAAATCTTTCTGGGCGAATTTAGAACGGGGCACACTTGTTTCCGAATATGAAAGGGCGAAAATAACACGGGGCGAAAATAACCCTGTATACAGTAGTGAAAATGTATTATTTCTTTGAAAATCTTCTTCTCTGCTCCTGGGTATTAGATTAACTAACTAGCTAACTAACTAATCATAACACATAGTTATGATAAGCAAGAGTGCCTCTTCCAAAATTGTGAATTTTATAGCCCCAGGGTCAGGGGTTCTGGTGTTTAGTCGAGGCTCTATTGATTATATAGTAAAAATACATTTAGTCTTTGTAAATATTTTTCTTTGATTCTGGGTTTTAAGCCAATGATCCAAGTATATATATATTTATGATGAAGAAAGGTGCATCTAGCAAAGTGGTTTTTAATGCCCCCAGGGTTAAAGTGGGGGGGGGGGGGTGGTTACATAGCCTGAAAATAAATTAATGCTTTGAAATCTGCTCTTTGGTATTAATCAACCATTTTATGATAAAATTTGCAAAATTTTGAAATATATGGCCCTGGGTCAGTGGTTCCTTTGGGGTGAGGTGCACAACTGGTTATAAAGTGGAAGTGCATTTTCTCTTTGTTACTCTGATCTACCTCGGGTTTTAAGTAAATAGAGTAAGCATGCTAAGTTAATAATTATGATAAGCAATGGTGCCGCTTTCAAAATTGTAAATTGTGAATTTCATGGCCTCCGGTTTAAACACGAACCAAATTTAATTGTTTGAAAGTTGGTCCACAATACTCAGGTGACCTATAAGGCCCGTGGGCCTCTTGTTTTAAAATACATTTATGGAGTAAAAAATTTGACTTTTTATAAGACTTTTCTGAGAACTACAAAGATCCTTCAGGCACATTCAGATTTATAAAATGAAAATTGTTGCATGAGAAGTTTTAATTTTCAGGATTTATTTTGAGACTTTTTAGCTTTTCTGATCAAAATTTGTCCGTCGTCTGTCGTTGTCGTTGTCGTCGTTGTTGTCGTAAACTTTTCACATTTTCATCTTCTTCTCAAGAACCACTGGGCCGATTTCAAACAAACTTGGCACAAAGTATTCTTGGGTAAAGGGAATTCAAGTTTGTTCAAATGAAGGGCCACGCCCTTTTCCAAGGGGAGATAATCATAAATTTGTTAAAAATTAATGGCATTTTTAAAAAATCTTCTTCTCCAGAACCACAAGGCCAGGAAAGATGAAACTCATGTGGAAGCATCCTCAGGTAGTGTAGATTCAAATTTGTTCAAATCATGACCCCCAAGGGTGGGGCCAAAATGGGCAAGTTTTACATAGGAATATATAGGAAAAATCTTTGGGGCCAGAACCATGGCCCATGTGGAATCATCCTCAGTGTAGTTTAATTTGTTCAAATCATATGGGGCCAAAAGGAATATATAGGAAAAATTTTTAAAAATCTTAGGACAGGAAAGATGAAAAAAATCTTCTCCAAAAGAACCACTGGGAATATAGGAAAGATGAAACTCATGTGGAATCATCCTCAGGTAGTGTACATTCACATTTGTTCAAATCATGACCCCCCGGGCAAGGGTGGGGCCAAAATGGCCGACCCAAGTTTTACATAGGAATTTATAGGAAAAATCTTTAAAAAAATCTTCTTCTCCAGAACCACTGGGCCAGGAAAGATGAAACTCATGTGGAATCATCCTCAGGTAGTGTAGATTCTAATTTGTTCAAATCATGACCCCCGGGGCAAGGGTGGGGCCAAAATGGCCGACCATAATTTTACATAGGAATATATAGGAAAAATTTTTAAAAATCTTCTTCTCAAGAACCATTAGGACAGGAAAGATGAAACTCATGTGGAATCATCCTCAGGTAGTGTAGATTCAAGTTTGTTCAAATCATGACCCCTGGGGCAAGGGTGGGGCCAAAATGGCCGACCCAAGTTTTACATAGGAATATATAGGAAAAATCTTTAAAAATCTTCTTCTCCAGAACCACTGGGCCAGGAAAGATGAAACTCATGTGGAATCATCCTCAGGTAGTGTACATTCAAATTTGTTCAAATCATGACCCCCGGGGCAAGGGTGGGGCCAAAATGGCCGACCCAAGTTTTACATAGGAATTTATAGGAAAAATCTTTTAAAAAACTTCTTCTCCAGAACCACTGGGCCAGGAAAGATGAAACTCATGTGGAATCATCCTCAGGTAGTGTAGATGCATGTTTGTTAAAATCATGACCCCCGGGGCAAGGGTGGGGCCAAAATGGCCGACCATAGTTTTACATAGGAATTTATAGGAAAAATCTTTAAAAATCCTTCTGAAGATCCACTGGGCCAGGAAAGATGAAACTCATGTGGAATCATCCTCAGGTAGTGTAGATTTAAGTTTGTTCAAATCATGACCCCCTTGGGTAGGGTGGGGCCATGGCCGACCCAAGTTTTACATAGGGATATATAGGGAAACCTTTTTAAATCTTCTTTTCAAGTACTTCAAAGCTATGATTAGTGATATTTATATGGAATCATCCTCAGGTAGTGTAGATTCTAGTTTGTTCAAATGATGAACGCCTGGAGGGGGGGGGAGTAAATTCAAGCCCGATGTGCTCAGGTGAGCGCTGTGGCCCCTGGGCCTCTTGTTAAATTAAATTATAGATTAAAGAGTTATCCTTTCTGGAGGAGCATCGAAGTATCTTAATATTTTCATCTTCAAATTAGATTTTAATTCTTAGAGTTTTGACTCAACTGTTGATGATAAAAAGTCTAGCCTTTTTACTTGGAAATGAAGATTATAAGAATAAATTTGCTAATTTAGTGTTTATTTCTGAACGACTATTAATCAGACAATCTGTTTTTTTTTTCAGTTTTTTCAACCTTTTTGATAAACCATGTGTGTCCAACTAAATATTTTTAAAGAGATTCGTTTGTTGTACCTTTAAAAATACCGAAATAGCCTTTTTCTTTCCTATTGACTTTTTTGCATGTGTAGAATCATACGAGAGATGATTCAATGCAATGACTTTAAACTTTGTATGCTTCTTTGAAATAATTCAACCAAACCAACAAGGAAGAAGATATTATCGCTTTTAATAAAGCATTAGGATTTGTTTCTCTCCCAATCGTTACTTATGGTCTAAAAGAGACTTCTATTGAAACTTTTAACGCTGACGCTATTCGTTGTCTTATAGTAACAGGAACAAATTACTGTAACCGTG